AAACACACTTTTGGCAAATGTAATCATTCAATTTGATTATAAACGTTTCACGGGTTCAACTACAGTAGCACAAGTCAATTAATTTCTGCAGCGCAATCAAATACAACAGTTTTACTGCTTTACATGTGTGGCCAGGGACAATGGACAAACTGAGTGAGTCACAAGTACAGTATGTGTCCAAATAAGATACACATTCATTCTTCCCTCAGTGGGGACATTTTCAAAGTACACAAGTGCAATTATAGATACACTTGTGGAGTATACAGATCGCTGATATTGTACTTTAGCAGCGTATAATATGTCCAGAATAAATAATAGTAATAATAGCAGCAGGTAAAGTGACTATATCGCTAATATTAACGTTTTTAAAATGCATCTGCTGGCCATGTCCCAGAAGGATCCGACATACATGGTTGTTTGTCAGCTTACAGTAAATGGAGTAGAAATGATTCAGTCCAGTTACGCCAACAGGACTGGGTTTACGTGTGTCTTGGTCAATCCACTTGGACTAGGGCAGTTATCTGTGTTTCACTTTAGTGCCACATACACACATAAGGCTCAGGGATGTCTTACCTCTGGCTGGATCTGCTGAGCGAGGATGCACCACTTCAGTGTACTCAACATCCGGCTCGTTGGACATTACGCTGTTCTCTTCACTACCTAAAATTGAAATAATTTAGTATTCAAAATATACTTGTCCATCGAACAAACAAGTACAGTATATGAGTTAGGTAGTCAAGTTACAGTTAATCGTTCCCGTGGGGATCTTTGTCCTCTGCATCCCCAACCCCAATGAAGCAGTGCTCACCATTGTTCAGGACTCGCGAATCATCTCAGCCTGGTCAGGACCAAAGCTGGAGGATCTGACCTACTGTACATGTTTTTAGTGGTATGATAACCCGGAGCACAGTCATATGGTTAATAATACAAAAGTAACATTATAATGCTGTTTTTGTTGTATGTGAATGAACAGGAACATACAGTTAAATCCTGAAATCACAAAGGCATAATGTGCTTCAGTGAAACAGTCTTTAACCGTTTAAATTAGCAACGGTAATGCCATGTTGAGAAAACGGTAAATCCCTGGAACCATATTTACCAGCTTTTTACCGTTTTTCTACAAGGACATTCTTTACAGTGCAGTAATTTTTTCTCCTCTATGTGAGACCGATGAGTCATTTCAAAGCACAGCAGTTTGAATGTTATTGTTGTAATAAGAAAATTAAGAAAATGGTGTCACAGAACGACTTGGAGCTCATAATTCATGCCTTTGTGTCTTCTCGTTTAGATTATTGTAATGGTTTGTTTTCATGTCTGAACAAGAAGGAGCTATCACGTCTGAAGTTAGTGCAAAACTCTGCAGCTCGGGTTCTCACGCGCACAAACAGGAGGTCGCACATCACTCCTGTCCTCAAAGCTCTCCACTGGCTGCCCGTGTCCTACAGGATACATTTTAAAATATTGGTGCTGACTTTCAGAGCTCTGCATGGTCAGGCTCCCCCTTATATCAGCGATCTGATTCAGCCTTACACCCCCACTCGTGCCCTGAGGTCTGTGGATCAGAATCTTTTGATGGTCCCACGCACACGCTTTCGGACCAGGGGAGACCGGTCCTTCCAGGCTGTTGCGCCTAAGCTCTGGAACAATCTTCCGCTCTTTCTGCGGCTGATGGAATCGGTTGATTCATTCAAAGGTCAGCTAAAAACCTATTTATTTGGGCAAGCTTTTACATAATTTTCTTGCGGCTGTTTTTTAAACCTGTCACTGAGGTGTCTTGGCCATTATATTGACTGTATATTTAGTATTATTTTTTGTATATGCACATTTTAAATTGTATTTTGTCTGTTTTTTACCTGTTTAAACTGTGAAGCGCTTTGTGGCCTTGGTCTGTGAAAGGCGCTGTATAAATAAAGCTTACTTACTTACTTACTTACTAATGTATTCATGAACGTTTCTGCAGCTCCAGTCAATATGAAAACAAAAGCAGACGAACATTGAGGTGTAATAATCACACTTGTAAAACCTCACCTTGTGGTGGTCTTTCTGTCCAGACACTGACTGTGGTTCTGTCCACTGCTCTGGTGGCTGTAAGACACAGAACACATCATACAGTTTTCAAGGCCATAAAGACAGAGAAAGTACAAATGAGAAAATAGACCATACAGAAAAAAGGTTTTAATAACAAGGATAAAAAAACTTGGGGTTCCTTTTCTAAATTGAGTTACATCTTGGTGTCTTCATCTAAATACTAGGAGATTTCCGTGGTCAAGCGCCTCAATCTGTAAATTTCTCCTGTGTGAGATTAATAAAGTATATCTTATTTTATCTTAATCTGTTATCAAAGAACTGGGGTACATTCAGTAACCTTACATTTTTTGAATTAAACCACTCTTAACAAAAACACTAAAAACCGTTCATACAACAATTATTTCTGAACACAGAATTCTTTCACTTTTACCATCAGATTTGTGGACGGAACATTTCCAAGACAAGTTGTTTTTTTGAGATTGCAAAATAAATGGGGAAATTACAATTTGCTGTAGATAAACACAGATTAGGTGGTCACTCCACAAATACTCAATTTGAACAGAGTTTTGTTTTGACAAATGTTGGCTTTAATTCTGTCCAACATGTATTTATATCATGTATTTGTCTTTTGACGAGAAACAGACCAAAAGTGTAGCACTGAAAAGAAATGGAGGACCAATAAACAAAAAAAGTATAAGTAAATGTAAGGAAAACATAGGGAATTATTTATGTGATGCCAGGTTACTATAAAATAAAGTGTCCTGGATTATACTACTTTGAACCCTAACAATAACACATGACAAAGTTGAAGCTGTATTTCTGTCAAGGTTCATTCCACATTCTTTTGCACAATATGCACTTAATATAGCCACTGTACGACAAAGCGTCCAGGCAAAACCACTTCCCACAAAGTTATGTTATCTCAATCATAGTTTCACCAAGTCCTATGTGAATAATTTCCTCCACCTGCACAGTGCTTTCAGACCCAGCCTCTAAGCCCCGCCCCCTTTTGCGTTCTCTCCATTGTTCCAAGGTTTGAAGGAAGTCTGTGTTGATGTTTTAGGAAATGGATCAGTTTCATGTACTTAAATGGTGGTCCTTGGGCCGATATCAGAGCACATGAACACAAAGAGCTGTGATAGAGTAGTTTTAGATTGTAGAACGGAAGAAAAGGCGATAAACAGTGCATACAAACTATAATCTTTATTATAAGAGCCTCTTCTGGACAGTGGATTCAAGCAACATATACAAACTCTTGTCTCAAAAATACAAAAAAGAGGGTTAAAAAAAAGGGAATAAATTATAATAGTGCAAATTGAAAAAGTGGCCCAATCTCTTACAGTTTACATCCTGAAATCATATTGTATTTTAGGCCAGTAGGTAATAAATATAAATATAGTAGTGATGTTTGAAAAGTGGGAAAGTGAGAAATGTCTCAAGACTTGGCCTCATTTATAAAACGTTTGGCAGATTTTTTTTTTTTTTTACAATCAAAACAAAAAGTTCCACACGGATTCACAAACTTGCCATTTCTTGTTTTTCTTGGCACAGATTGTGTTATGTCTTGTTTCAGAAAGCGTCAGCAAAATTACTCTATAAAACGGTCCTTTTGCAAATCACAAAGTAAAAGAAGAAACATTATGCATTATTTTTGCCCAAAAATTTACCCAAATATGTTGATATTCGAATATGTTTTTCTCTATGGGCCTTTAATGAAAATCCAGAGAAATAATTTAACTTGTAGGTGTTCCAAACTTCCAATCCAAGTCAAGTCCCAAGTCCTTCAAGCCCTAGTCTCTCACAAACAGCTGTGACTCTAGTCAGAGTTGAGTCTGGGTCTCCAGTTGAGTCCAAGTCCACATGAGTCAGAATAATACAACAGTGCATGAATTGAGATGCAACTGAAGGTGTGAGCAAAGCTAAGTCTTTGGCACATTTTCCCATTTGTAATATCGGAAATATGAACAAAGCACAGGGAAAAAAGAACAAAAATCCAATGGATCAAAGGTAATGTATTTATAAAAAGCCAGCGGAGGGGAGAGGGAACAACAGACTGCACAACACGCCGCTGCTGAGTGTCCAAAAGCCAAGTCCATGGGATCCCTTTAGTTCTCAGTCATTAAAAAAAGTTCAGATCCATCTTTATTGTGGAAAGTGTCTAAACGGCAGCAGAGACACTGTAGCTCATGTTAGCAGGAAGTGAAGCCGCACTAGCTCTCGTCCCATTGGTCACTCTCCCCTCTAGGCCTTCATAGCCTCGCACTGCGTCTGCAACGAGATCATAAGAGCCGTCTAAGAACTTTGACAAATTATTACACCACAAGCTGCTACTGCTACAATCCACACCACCAAGGTTTAGTACTACTGCTTTAGCCAACACGAAACTAGAGCATGCACAAGGTTAGTTAAAATTACCAAAGAAAAGATGGAGTAGGAGATGGGGTACATAACTTTTTCTATCATCAAGAATTCTAACTCTAACCCAATAGAAGTTGTCTTGTAAATGAAAATGTTGTGAACAAATCAGACCCCAACCTGCTGTCTTTATCTACTTAGAAACCATATAACCTTTTGGATGAGTCACAATCTGACTCATTGGGCTGAGAGCTGATTGGCTGAGTGAGGGCGGTCTTCTCCACTTCACTTTTCTGTATGAAAACGCTGATATAAAGATGGGACAGAGGCCAAAAATACATGCACATAAAACTAGGGATAAAACCAAGCTATTCTGAGATGGATTTTTTAGTTTTTGTAGTTTGAAAGATGGAAACCCCAGCTAAAAGTTGACAGTGTTGTTTGAAGAGCCAACGTTGCATAAAAGTGGGGATGGTATGATGTCAGAAGACAAAAAAAGTTATATTTTGTTGATGTTGCCATTTCTCAATAGTCTCAAAGGTTGTGATTTACACATATCTCTATTCATACCACATCCCAACGTTTTTCCAACTGGGTGAGTAGAAAGTCTTGCATGCGTGTTAGAAAAGAGCCGTGATTGAGTCCCACATGGTGTTTGTTAATGTGGACGTGAACAGTAAACGGCGGGCACCTGGGGGCGTGTCATAAACTGGAGTCTCGTGGGTTATATTCAATGTTAGAGCCTCATCTGATTTAGGTTGTGCAGGCTTTCTAGAATCATAATAAGAAAATCACATTCTGCAACAGAGAAGCCCTTTTCATACAAATCACAACAAAAGTAGCACGTTTCAAAATCCAATTCTTATTAAAAATTTAAATACAAACAATAAATATGCACTATAAAGGCAATTTTTCTGAAGGCATTTCTTAAACACAAAATATTCCATCTACTTGAGTGAAAGGCATACAGGCAACTGCAACTGTACAAGCGTTCAACATTTAACATCTACCTCATTTTGGTCTATATTAGTAACGCTATGATATAACCACATATAGTGAATTACTCCATAAAAACCAATCAAACATACAAGTAGACAACTCTACGCTTTAACTAAAAGTCATTGGGAAATAGGCATGACGTTGACTTTTCTTTAATTCAACCTCTTGTCATCTTGTTATAAGCATTTAAATGTACATATATATGACTTAGCAGATGGCCCCACCCACAACAGAGAACACACTCTAGACCTGCTTCTACTAAGGGGGTTAATAACATAAAAAATATAAATGTGTTTGACAAATCGTTTGCTAGTAAACCACAAGTTGACTCTGGATTCAGGTGGCACTGGCTTCCTATGGCTCAAAGAATAGACTTTAAAGTAGCTTGTGTATAGTCTGTTATTGTCCTGTTTTGTTTCCATTTACTATACAAATATGCTTGACGTAAAGTTATAAAAAGCATGGTTAGAATCAAATATTTTGCAGTGAAGCAGGATCGGACCAAGCCACCAGAAAAGTTACACTTATATTTCACGTCAACAAACTGTCTAGAGAATACATCAAAAACAAATACGGATGCCAACTCACACTGACAGTTCAGAGGCTCCTTGCTTTTTACCTACAATAAAGAGACAGAGATGAGAAGGGGGGAGAGAGGAGAGAGGAGAGAGAGGAGGAAGAGGAAGAGGAACAAGGAGGGTTGGTGTCTGTTCGTACATGAGGTTAAGAAGGCGCGGTTGGGGGGCTGTAGGTCTGTCTACCTCTGTGAGACTTGAAGCAGAGGACACACACTAGCACCAGGACGGAGGCCGCGAGCAGACAGAAGCTGCCGATCACAATCTTCTTCCACAACGCCAACCGCACTGTGAGGAAGAAGAGGACATTGTTGTTTATATAAAGCAAAACAAACGAGTCGGATGCAGTTTTCTCTTCCTGTTGTAGAGGAACGACAACAAAAGAAAATCTAAATCTTATTTAATCCATTTCTTTGTCCAATAAATAGTTAGGTTGCCCAATTTTTTCAGAAAATGGGAAATGGGACAAGGAACAGATCTTCACCGAAATAGTGGTATCATGAAGTAAATATTGTTACATCCGTAGCTATTTTAATAACACCCCTTGTACATTTCTACATTGTCAGATAATTTAAGTTTATCTTATCTTCTGTTAAATACCTTTTATTTTGACTAATTTAGGTGCTACATGAATAAACTTGAAAAGTATATGAGCGACCTCTGCCAAGGGGGGTAATTTCCATTCCTCAAGAAAATTCCCGTTTCCATATGGTGAATCCGAAATGGAATAATAATATTATATAGGATAATACAGTTGACATATATAAATACAAAATGGCCTCACCCTGTATGTTGACTGGCTCACTGGAGACTATGTTGTTTGCGTGGTTGAAGGCCTCAAAGTAGTACATCCCGCTGTGATCCTTGACAACCTCGTCGATCTCAAAGCTAGTGTTGTTTTCGGCAGAAGTTTTGGTGAACAGGGGCAGGTCGTAGCCAAGGCGATAGACTTTGAAGGTGATGGGAGGCGTGCCTCTGATGCTGCAGATGAAGAGGAGGCTCGAGCCCTCTGAGATCTCAGGCAGAGGAGGGATCAGCGTCAGCAGCGGCTGAGACACCGGCTCTGGGGAGGACACACACATAATGCTATAGTCTGCAGTCTATATGTTGTAGCATATAGACTGCGTGTGTGTGTAAATTTACACACACACACAGACAGGAATAGGTTTTTTTCCCATATTTCTGGGAGACAATAATATGTCGTCAACAAAATGAATACTGCTTAACACAACCACTAGCGACAAGTTAAACAAAAATGTCAATGAGCACAACTGTAACTGTTGGGGTTCTGTACCTATGACGGTGGCGTTCAGTTTGAGGCTGAGCAGGCCTTCTCTGCGGCTGTTCGAGGCCTCGCAGATGAACTTTTGGACGTCTTTGGGGTTGTGCACCGTCACGTTGAACACAGCGTCCTCAGATGGGAGCCTCACAGTCACCGTGGAAACAGGGGCGTAGTCCTCCAGCAGGGTGTAGTTGATGGGCAGGCTGCCGTTGTCCGACTTACAGCGAATCTTAAAGGGCTTGTCGACAATTGCCCGATCCACCACTGAGATCTTTGGAATGGAGACTGAGACTGTGAATGAGAAAACAGATTTATTACAGTTCAATTCAATTTAGTTGTGTATTGCCCTAAATCACACACAAAAATGTCCTTTATCTCGGAGGACTTTACAGACTCAAAATCCCCAACATAGATCAGAGACTCAAACTGTTCAAACAGCGGAATGATAAAAATACATAGAGCCTTTGGCCCATAAGGGGCAGATGCTAAATTTGAGAATTTGGTGTTGCCCTGTGTATTGTGGCCCAACTACAGATGAAAATTAGCTAGTATCTATGTCCGGTCTGTTTCATTATCTCTACGCGGTGATGATGAACCAACACCATCCATTCACTCACTCATTACATTCAGACCTATTGTACATGCTTTTAGTGGTAGGGGAAACATGAGGAGAACATGCAAACTCCACACAGAAAGGCCTGGAGGTGGATATGAACCCAGCTCGAAGCTCTAACCGCTGCTCTATCATGTCCATGCCATGATGATATAAAAGATTGCATGTAATAAATGGTTAGGGTCACCTTTTGGGCGAACGGTGAGTATCCTGCTGTGCTTCTCGATGCCTTTGGCCTTGGCGATGCAGCTGTAGTTGAAGTCCACACTCAGAGATTTCCCAGAGAACTCTCCGCTGCTACGCTCCTGCAGGTGGATCTGAGACGGCTCTATGGAGTACGTCAGGTCCTCTCTGGACAAACGCTCCGACGCAAACTCCTCACTTTTACAAATCAGTTTAAAGAGCTCCTTTTGGAAAACCTCAGCTGGAGACATGGCCAGAGTCGGCACTGAAAACAGTTCTGCACAAACACAAAAAAACCAAAACATCGACATTATAAATATTTCTATGAGGAATTTGTGTAAGATCTCAGTCGTACAGGTTTTATCCAATCTCACTCATCATCTGTGCTTCAGTTAGCAGGAGAACGAAACGTCAGAAAACCTGCTAACTAAAGTACAGATGATGGATGAGCAGTCTTCCTTTACTTTATTTCTATGGCAATAAACACACATACATACAAAGCCTTGAAAAAGTATTTCTTCCCCATGGAGATTTTGCCTCTATGACCACAACAAACTTTTTTGTTGTCGTTGTGAAAGACCAAAACAAATTTTACGATACATTTTATGCTGTAATGTAGCAGACATGTAGCAACACGATTTAAGGATGAGGTGTTTAAAAGCGTGACCGTTTCCAGCTTCCATGACTCAATTAAAATCAATTCAATTAATTCTTGTATAGCCCTAAATCACAAAAGTAGTTCTCTCATTGGCCATTCCATTGTCCGTGCCCGTCGACTTTGGAACGACCTGCTCGAGGAGATAAGACTAGCATCATCAGTGTCCTCTTTTTAATCACTTCTTAAAACCCACTTTCATCAAACAGCTTTTCACTCTTAATCTTAAACTTCACGTTGTATTTTACTGTTTCACTTTGTCTTGTCTTTCTTCACGTGTTTGTTTCTCTGCTTTGTCTTCCCGTATCTACCGTTAACTATTTTGACTTTGTATTATCATGACTGTTTTTAGTGATTATTATTATTATTATTATTGACTAATTCAGCGCTTTGTAAACATTGTTGTTGAAAAGTGCTTTACAACTAAAGATGTATTATTACTATTATTGTTATTATTATTATCATCATTCATATTATCATTATCATTATTATTACTTGATGGAGGCAAAATAATGAACTCTGCTCTGACAAATCTAGTACAATAAAAATACATATATTAGCTGCATCGCTATAAATTCCTGTATTTGACTTTTTTTGTTTTTTATGGAAGCCCGTTTCTTTGGAAGCCCGTTTCTTTGGAAGCCCGTTTCCGCCATGTAAAAAAAAAGCATAGAGAAAGTCAAAATTTTGAGTTTAAAACTCAAAATTACGACTTTTAAAAGTCTAAATTTCGACTTTAAAAGTCAACATTTCGACTTTAAAAGTCTAAATTTTGACTTTAAAAGTCTAAATTACGAGTTTTCAACTGCGCATGTGCAGTTGAAAACTCGTATGTGTTGTTGTCTGGAACGGTCTCTGGACGTCCTTCACCTGCAGATTATGTGAAGATATTGCCTACAGTGACCACTGCATCCTTGAAGTAGCCAGAAATAATGTTGTTTGATTGATTCTGTAAAACTTTCCTGTTTAAGCCCCAGACCGCGGCCGTAGGGAGGAGCTGTCTTTTTATTTATTTATGTTAAATTCAATTTACATATATACAACATTTAAATCAAACGACTTCTTTTTTCCTCCTGTGGACTCACCACCTGCAGAGGGTCAGTGAGGGGCTGGTGCTATGAGACTTGGGTGGCATCTCTGACTGCCACCCCCCTGACCCAGAAATGGATTAAAGGGTAGAAAATGGATGGATGGATGGATGGACTTCTTTTTTCGACATAGTAACAAATAATGTGAGCAATATGTTTTTATAATAAATCAAAGGAAAATGAGCCATTGAGACATTCCAATCCAATCTGCTATAGACCACTCTGACCAGACGATGGCGCTGAGAGGGGTCCACACGGAGCGAGTCTTTCCACGGCTGAAATGATGCGCTTTCTACGTGTTGAGTACGGGGTTTTATTCATGCATCTATAATGGGTTTAACTCCCTTTTCAAAGACCCTCAGTTATCTGCGGAGTTATTTCTCCGGATTGTTGCTTAAAGAGTTGTGGGCTTTATTTTGTCACAATAAAATAATCAGACAAGGCACTTATTCCCTGTATGTCTCTGTGTTCTACGTCATGGTGCTACGTCCCTTAGGACTTCGCTAGTGGGATATCACTCGTGACCCCCAGGTCAAACGCCAGAGAGATCAAAATAATTTGCTCCAATCACCAGCCACCTTCCTCTATAAATGCCCCTGCACAAGGCCGCACCCCCTCTTTCACTCTGGCGCCGATTGAGATCTACCGTTCAATTTTACCAGAGAAAAAGATGTCTTCTGATGCTCGTCCGAGTTCCCCTTCGCCATCCGGCGTCGGACGTCGTCGTTGCTCGACTTGTCGGGTCAAGCTCCAGCGCAAGGACCAGCACTCCAGCTGCTTCGTGTGCCTGGGTTTGGGCCATGCGGCGTTGAGCGCCACCTGCGCCTCGTGTCTCGCTCTCCCCAGGGAGGAGAGTGAACGCAGGCGCGCGTTCTTCGCCGCTACAGCGCCCCGTTCGGACTCCTCTCAGGACGAGGAGTCTGTGATTGACTGGGCCCCTCTCGACCTTCCACCCGTGCCCGCGGAGTGGGGTGACTGCGAGGACGGAGAGGTTTCGGAGGTCGGCTCTCTCCTCACGCTGGACGAGGTGATGTCGAACCCGGAGCCGGACCGCTTCCCGCTGGACCACATGCCTGGGCTCTACTCCACGGCGGCGGCCATCATGGATGCCCCCCTGCCACCGCAACCGAACCAGAGGGTGGAGGACTTCACCTCTGGTTACGCCACCACTCGAGGGAGGAGGAGGAGGACGCAGCCCACGTTGTGCCCGCGGATGGACCCGATCGTCCATTACGCGACACGTGAGTGGCCAAAGCCCCTAGCGGCCAAGAGGCCCGCTTTGGGGTACGGCATGTACTGCAACGTGCAGGACTGGTCCTGGACCGGCGGGGTCCCGGACATCGAGGATTCGGTTCGAGTGGCCCTGCACCCCTCCGCATCCGTGTGGCCCGGCACCAGACCTCTCCTTCCCTCCGAGCAGGACAGGATGTCTTTGGCGATGCACGACAGATGTTACGCCAATGCGGCACAGGTCGTCGCTGTGGCGAACAACATGGCCTTCATCACCGGGGCCCTGGATAGGTCGCTCTCTTCTGGCCAGGCGCTCAGTGGAGACACCTTATCTCAGGCGAGGACCACTTCAGCGGCGATCCTGCGCATGTGCCAGGCGCTAGCTGTCGATGGCGGCCGCACCATGGCAGCAGCACAAGTCGGGGCCAGGCACCTCTGGCTGGGGCTGGCGAACATCAGGGAGGCGGAGAAGAGGCAGCTGCTGGACCTGCCCATCTCCCAGACGTCGCTCTTCGGTCCGGAGATGCAGACCCTGGTGGCTAGGCTGGACACCGCAACTAAGGACTCTGCTAGCCTAGCCAGGCATCTAGCTGCGAGACGCGAGGCCCGCCCTCCAGCGCGGAGCCGAGACAGAGGCAGGGAGCGCTCGCCCGGCAGGCGCCCCGGGCCATATCCACGCTCCGTGGCTCATCGTCCCCCAGCGACGAGGCCCCCAGGTCCAGACAGACACACGGGAGGCTCGCGGGACCAACGTACCCACCGCCGACCTCCCTATGGCAGAGGAGGTCGGGGCGGTAAGAATTCGTTCAATAAAAGCCGACCGGCATTTCATCAGTACTCGCAGTCTGAGTCTCATTTGGGGGTATGTAACATCTCAAATGATCTGAAATCTGTTTGTGGTACTTCTCGAGCACATAACGTGGCGCCGCTAGGCCTGCAGCCCCCAGAGAAGGGCGTGCAGCGCGCTACGCGGGCCACGAGCTCCGATTCTCGGGTTCATGCTAGGCCCTCCCAGAGAGGCAGGCGGAGGGATCTGGTGAGTAATAAGGTGTGTGCTTCGGCCGAACGCGTGTTAGCATCTCCGAGCTACGAGGCTAACACGGGGTTTCCCACTCCAGGGGCTCGCCCCCCCCTCCATGAGGCAAGAGCCAGGGGGGGGCACAGCAGCCGAGTCACGTGTGGTGAGCAGTCCCGTACTTATGACGTCGGGCCTGCAGAACACGTGACCGCCCCCGGCGCTCACGGTGTGACGCAGGGGCCCCCCCGGCTCTTTCAGCCACCCCCCCTCCCTGCTAGGAACACCAGGAGAGGGCGGGGCCGTAACGTCTCGTGTTCCAGCTCCCGTTCCGCCCCTCACAGACTTCTACAGCATCTGGAGGGAGCAGGGCTTACTGACAGATATTTGGCTGGAGAAAACTTTGCGCAGGGGTTACGCACTGCAATTTTTCCGAAAGCCACCACCATCCCGAGGCGTACGGGCAGTACGCTCTCAGGTACGGGGATCGATAGAGGCACTACAAGCGGAGGTCTCCTCTCTGCTGAGTTGAGGCGCAGCAGTGGAGGTAGACCCGCAGGACGCCACCAGGGGGCTGTACTCCCCTTACTTCTTAGTGCCAAAGAAGTCAGGCGGGGTGCGTCCCATTCTGGATCTGCGCGTGTTAAACGAGTGCATTTCCAAACGGCAGTTTCGGATGCTGTCCACAAGGCAGCTCCTCGAGTGTGTCAGGGAGGGAGACTGGATGACATCCATAGACCTGACAGATGCGTACTTCCACGTGCCCATAGTGCCAGAACACAGGAGGTTTCTGCGCTTCGCAGTGGGAGAGAGGAATTACGAGTACTGCCGTCTACCCTTCGGGTACGCATTCGCGCCTCGGACTTTTTCCAAATGTGTGGAAGCAGCTCTGGAGCCGCTCAGACGCGCGGGGGTAAGAATATTAACCTATATAGACGACTGATTAATTCTGGCCTCATCCAGAGAAGTGGCCGTGAGCCACACGCACTGGGTCCTGTCCCACATACAGCGTCTGGGCTTTGTGGTGAACAGGGAGAAAAGCAAGCTGCAGCCAGCCCAACGCATGGTTTATCTCTGTCTGCAGCTAGACCCTGTGACATTCCGTGCTGCATTGTCCGTGGACAGATGGATGAACATTACCCGTCTGGCCCGGGAGGTTCTGGCGGGCCCCAGAGTCCCCGCTCGGCGCCTCAGGTCCCTGCTGGGAATGATGGCGGCGGCTCATGCTGTGGTGCGGCTAGGCCTTCTCCACATGAGGAATTTTCAGAGGTGGTTCTCGCGCCTCAGGCTTCACCCCTCCCAGGACGGGGGGAGGCTGATCTGGGTTCCCCAAGTGGCAGCTTCGGACATCAGGTTCTGGCTCACTCCGGGTCTATTGCGGGACGGAGTGACTCTGGCCTGCGCCGTGTCTCACGTGAAGGTGTTCACGGACGCGTCGCTCGAAGGATGGGGCGGGGTCCTCGGCCAGAGCTCTGTAGGAGGCTGCTGGTCGGACTCAACCCGTCACATCAACCTGCTGGAGATGGAGGCAGTGCACAGGGTACTGCTGCACTTTGCTCCTCAGCTGCAGGGGAGACACGTGATGGTTCGCTCAGACAACACCACAGTGGTCTCCTATCTGAACAGGCAGGGGGGCACCAGGTCCCCCGCTCTCCATCGCATGGCGACAGTGACGCTGCTGTGGGCGGCGCTTCACCTCCTGTCTCTCAGGGCGCGCCACGTCCCGGGGGTCCGGAACATGGGGGCCGACAGAATGTCCAGGGGGGGGCCCGCTCCAGGACGAGTGGGGCCTGGCCCCGCGGGTAGCTGCGGAGATCTGGCGGAGGTTCGGCCGTCCAGTGGTCGACCTTTTCGCCAGTGCAGAGAACGCACAGTGCCCGTCCTGGTTCGCCTTAAGGGCAGCGGACGAACCGCCCTTAGGCGTGGACGCTCTGGCTCATTACCCCTGGCCAGGCGGCCTGCTGTACGCTTTCCCACCGGTGCGTCTCCTGCCGGTCCTGCTGCGGAGGATCGAACAGGAGAGGAGGTCGGTGATCCTGGTGGCTCCGGACAGTCCGCATGCCCGGTGGTTCCCCTTCCTGAGGGGCATGGCGGTGATGGAGCCCTGGGCCCTCCCGGACGAGCCGGGGGCTCTAGTCCAGGGGGGAGGAGCCCTGTTTTCACGCCCGATAATCGGCCGCAGGCTCCGGGTTTGGAGGCTGAGAGGCGGAGCCTCGTAGACCTGGGTCTTCCCCCTGCGGTGGTGGAGACCATTCAGGGAGCGAGGGCGCCGTCCACTGTGAGGGCCTACGCCACGAGGTGGAGGCTATTCAGTGTCTGGTGCAATTCCCGTTCCTGGTGTTGCCCGCTGGAGGGGGTCCTGGGATTCCTACAGGAGCTCTTCGACAAGGGGAGGGCTGTCGCTACCTTGGCGGTGTTCGCGGCAGCCATTACTTTGGGTCACAACGGATTCGGGGGGTTCACAGCCCGTTCTCATCCGTTGGTTAAACGTTTTCTGCGGGGGGCGCGCAGGAGGAGGCCCCCGCTCCAGAGAACGCCTCCGATTTGGGACCTCAGGGTGGTCCTTAGGGGGCTTTCGGGTCCGCCTTTTGAACCGGCGGCGGAGGCGAGTCCCGAGTGTATCGCCTTTAAGACGGCCCTCTTGCTGGCGTTGGCGTCTGCTAAGAGGGCGGGTGACTTGTGTGCGCTCTCTGTCCATGCGTCTTGCCTGTCCTTTGGAGAGGGCGACGGCATGGTGGAATTGTGGCCCAATCCGGCTTTTCTCCCCAAGGTCATCACGTCGGCCTTTAGGTCGAGAGTCATCAGGATTAGGGCTTTCCATCCGCCGCCGCATGCCTCCCCCGAGGAGGAGCGGCAGCACCTTCTGTGTCCTGTCAGAATGCTGAGGCATTACCTGGCCATGACGTCGTCATTCAGGTTGGGTGGTCAGCTGTTTGTGTGTCTGGGCCCCAAGAACAGGGGCGCCCCGCTGTCGGCTCAGCGGCTGGCGCATTGGGTCGCCACGGCTGTGCGGCGGGCGTATCAATCGCAGGGTCTGGCCCCCCCGGTGGGTTTCAGGTCGCATTCCACGCGTGGGATGGCGGCCTCTACGGCCCTTCTCAGGGGGGCGTCGGTCGAGGACGTCTGCCGTGCGGCTTCTTGGGCGTCGTCCTCCTCTTTCGTCCGGTCTTATCTTTCGGATGTGCCGGACCGGTCGGTGGCCCATTCCGTGCTGAGTGCAGCGGACTGAGTTAGACCGTTGGGTCCCTCCCCTGAGGGGGCCTTCGGTTTATTTCCGCCCTGGTGCAGGAGCTCTTGGGAGAGGCATCCTACAGGTGCGGTACATTTTTGTGCGTTTGGTCGGTCTGGTAGTCCACGTCAGGAGCTCTTGGGAGAGATGTCCTGTGACTACGGATGACCTACGGCTTGTGTTACGTGGGGGTATCCTTGGTAGGAGTGGCCCGTAACACGCTTGTTTCTTCTGCCCTGAGTCCTCTCACGTTGTGAGGGTCTTGCTCGGGCGGAGCTCCAATCACCCTTTGCTGGCCTGCTGGGAGTACATTTTCCTACGGCCTCCGCGTTGTGTCCCACTAGCGAAGTCCTAAGGGACGTAGCACCATGACGTAGAATTAATAGTTACTTAATGTAACTTAAGTTCTACGAATAGGTGCGTAGTCCCTTAGCTACGAGCCCATCAGGCCAGCCCGGCTTGGCAGAGTTCAAGAGGGGGTGCGGCCTTGTGCAGGGGCATTTATAGAGGAAGGTGGCTGGTGATTGGAGCAAATTATTTTGATCTCTCTGGCGTTTGACCTGGGGGTCACGAGTGATATCCCACTAGCGAAGTCCTAAGGGACTACGCACCTATTCGTAGAACTTAAGTTACATTAAGTAACTATTAATTCTTGCTCATACGCCAACAACTTTACCACACGCTCGCTCCATCAGCTCACCCCCACGTGCACGCAAACACGTCACATACTCTTCAATGCACTGATCGCAATTCCAAAAGGTTTAATATTGTCAGTGCCCGTGACTGTGGTTCTCCTGCCTCTGTCTGTGGTTCTCCTGCCTCTGTCTGTGGTTCTCCTGCCTCTGTCTGTGGTTCTTCTGCCTCTGTCTGTGGTTGTCCTGCCTTTGTCTGCGGACCTCCCTCACTGTCCTGTCATCGCGAACGGTCTCTCTGTCAGTCACAATATCATTCAGTGCATTTCTGGTGCATCCATCGATAGCCGTGATACTGACCAGATGTCACCAGTTGATGCTCACTGACTTTGAACAGCCGCATGTGTTTTATTATTAATCTTCCACAGTCCGTTTAGGATAAATTAAATAGAGGCTTCTGAAGCGGATTCTAATCATAAACGGAGAGACCGTTTGCATTTTAACGCGATTACTACCACAACATTATTGCTGCTACTTCATGGATGTGGTCACTGTCTGTAGGCAAAATCTTCACATAATCTGTAGGTAGAGGATGACCCATGGTCATGGATCTATAACAGGGATGACCAGAGACCGTTCCAGACAACAACACATTTTGACTTTTAAAGTAGAAAATTTTAGTTTTAAAGTCGTAATTTTCTGTAGGCTTTTTTTTTTTTTTTAACATGGCGGAAATGGGCTTCCATATTGCACTAATGCTCTCACCGGTGACAGGGACGACTTTAGTCATGGCCTTCACCACATTCCCCGTCTCCAAGCGACACTCGAACTCGGCCGAGTCTTTGGCGGTGACCTTCATGGTGTGGTTGACTTCTGTGTGTCCGCTCTTCAGCAGCTGCGTGCCCTGACTCAGATACACGTGCACTGAGTCAAAAAACGTGTACACGCCTTTCACGCTGCACGCTATGGTCAGCTGGTCCCCTTCAAACACTTTGTACTGAGGGAAGATGTGCAGGACGGGCGAGATGGACAACTCTGTGGGGAGAAAGAACGAGAAGAAGTTTACTGCACAAGGAACAGTTAGAATAGAAAAGAACTTTATGGTCTGTTCAAATTGAGCAGAGATTTGTCTTTCAATACGGCACATTTAAAAATCATTCACAGTTATTCACACGTTTACAGTGTATTACATTTATAATACACCGTAGAATGTGTTGGTTATCCATCCCCACTGGTGCTTTGGCAAATTAAGCTCCTCATGGATAAATAAAGTTAATTGAATTTGAAAAAAACAACAAAAGTTTTACACACTCAACAACAACTACTGATTTTTTTAGGTACATGTCATACCCAGTTGTTTTTTTCCCAAATGTTATATTTTGGATATTTTTATTGTAGTGTTATTTTTTCCGAACAATACAAGTTCAGTTATAGTTGGATTGAACCAAAAGGACCAAAGATAAAGAAGGATTGTAATTGCAGACTGATAGTATTGGTTTAATCATACATAAAATGGGTTCAATGTGCAGAAAATAAATAAATTATGTGGTCGTTTCTTAGAGAAAATAAGCCTTAAAATGATGTGTAACATGCCATAGTCGCTTTAAAATCTCCTACAATCAATGTTTGAAAGTGAACGGTAACTGAAAACATTTAGGGGCTGCATGTTGGACACCCCAGACTTAAACTACACTTTTCAGTTATACATAATTTATTTTCTATTTCTTCTCAAGCTGAGACTGTATTAGTGTAAAATTAGAATACATTTTTTTCTGACATGAATTTCAACAAATTTGGAAACTGAATAATTGGTATCTAAACTATGCATACAACAGACCCACTGGTGAAGATAATGGGAGTTTAAGAACAAAAAGTCAAATTTTTCTCTAAATACACTGGATAGAAGAAGTCAGGTTCAGCTTCACCTGTCACTGGCCTTTACACCAATCAGTACAAAGTTCTTCATGTAGCAGGACATGTAGAATTGTTTAAGTGCTGATATCTGTGGTCGCTGTTGGAGAAGACTACATTGTTCATGTTTATCTGTTATGTCCGAAGATAAGAAGTTGACCTCTTGTTCTTTTGAAAAATGTGCGTTTGTTGCCAAGTCCCACAAAGCAGTTGTGATGGTAGAAAAATCATGACAACTAAAATGTATGGGAGCTGACACCATCTTACATCACCAGCTGCCATTGAAATGACTAATATTACTTGTAACCCATTTGCATGTTCTCCCCGTGTCTGCGTCGGTTTTCTCCGGGTGCTCCGGGTTTCACTTAAAACAGGGTGAATGAGTGTGTGTTTGTGAGTGCGAGTGCGGAACAACGGATGCAAACAAGCCCAAAGCTACAATCCGGACAGGTGCATTCATTAGCATAACCTGTCCCAACAAATAAGTCTGTGATCCGGGTTGCCAGAACTCACCACGTCAAGCTAATCTCACTGGTAAAGTAACATGTGGCCGCAGAACTAAAAATGGTCTTATGATTCTCAAAACATTCATGACAAAACAAGGAATAAAACAAGGATTTCCACTTCCAAAAAAGTGTTTTTTATAGATTTACTGTTGACAAAACTCTTGTCCATTCAGATATCATGTTCCAAGCTGGATTCGTCTGCATATCTGGCAACCCAAATCAGGGATTGTGCTCTACCCGTTTTGTTCAGATTTTTACATACTGCTCCTTTAAAGTTGTGACTTTGTTATTGTTGATATTGATATTGTTAGCTTTGCAGTGTCTGGTCACCTCTGACTGACACGTGCACAGAGCTGCTCTTCTCCGAGGCGATGGAGTCAGGAGGGATGAGGACCGTGTAGGAGCAGTCGATGGTGTGGTGTCCCGGGCCGCTCAGGGGGAAGGTCACGTCCACCTGCTCGGAGTTCACCCGCTCGTCACGTTTCTCCTTCAGATCCTCATAAAAGTAGAAAATAATGGAGCCGGTTTCTCCAGGAGCAGAGCAGCTGGCCGTGAGCTCCTCCCCTTCATTCAGCATGGTCTGCTCCACACGCAGGACCGGAGTGGACAGGCCTGCACCAGCAAAGCACAATATGTCATTAATAATGTCAATGTCAGATTTATTTGTATAGCACATTTACAACAACACCAGCTGCCCAAAGTGATTCACAGGCACAAAAGATAAAAGAAAAGAGAACAGCATAAAATAACTTTAGCTGGTTGTGATTGAATTAATTAAGACCAAGACAAAGAATTTTGGAATAAGAAAAATAATGCCGCTTTACTTGAACGATTAAAGCGGCTGGTTCCATAGATCACTCTTTGTTTTAAGTAAAATTATGCATCATTTCTGACCATAAACTATAAGAGATTTTTTTAATTTTACCATTTGATTGTAGAGCATAAAATAATATTCTAAGCGAAAAATACTTGGTGAAACAAGTGTGAAGGGTAAATAATGCTTTCTGGCTGTAACTTCACAGTTGAAGTGTACCTATGATGAAAATGACAGACAATCGGTGGCTGACTAAATACTTTTTTGCCCCACTGTATGAGGCAATTACACTCACCCTGAAGAAATCTCTCCAAAACGATCACGTGTGCAGTCATTAATCAGATATAAATAAGTGTGTGTTGTATATATTATGTCTTTTTCAAGTACATTAGTGACATGTTAGTCCCATATGAACCAGCCCGGACTCTGAGGAGCACAGGGACTGGACTCCTGTTAGTGCTCAGAGTCAGAACTAAACATGGGGAGGCTGCTTTTCAGATTCATGCTGCTAAAATCTGGAACAATCTTCCTGAAGATGTGAGACAGGCCTCCTCTCTGACTATGTTTAAAACCAGGTTAAAAACAGTTCTGTTTAGCTGTGCATACAACTGAGGGATTTTATATTTTTATCTTTCTTTTTAATGTTCTGTGATTATTTATGATTCTAATGTTATTGTACTTTGCCTTGCCTTGCCTTTCTGGTTAGAGGTGTTGCATTTTACCTGCATTTTAAATGCTATTTAGGCAATTTTGTTTATCAATTTTTTGCACACTGTAACTTGTCATCCCTTTGCCTCTGCACAGGGACTTTGGATAGAAATGCTTGTAGTAAATGAGGTGAACACTAGATTTATTGTGCAATGTCCCTGTCAAATAAATAAATAGTTACACCAGCAGAGGAGGGGGCGGTCGTACCAGTGACGGTGAGCCTGCGGGCCTCACTGATGGCGCTCTTGTCCTCGATGCTGATCTTGCACTTGTACTTCCCCGTGTGCGAGACCCGGGCGTGGGACAGGGCGTAGAGCAGGTCCTCTGTGCTGCTGGTGGTTTTGGAGTAGACCGTGATGCCGTCTTTGTAAATGGTGTATTCTCGACTCAGAGGCTGGATCCCGGAGCTGCTGACCTTGGCGTGACACCGCACCGTGACGTTGGTGTCGCGGGCCACGTCCTCACGAGGCTCCAAGGTCAGAGACACGGAGCGGATGGTGAACGCTGAGGACCAGATGTACACCATCAATACAGATATAGGACATTTACAGTCTATGGGAGAAACAGAGGGACACCAGAGAGGGCTGGACTCACAGGAATGCTGGCTTGCATCTGGGTGTCTATACATGTGCAACACTTTAAATAAGTCAGTCATCTTTATTTATATAGCGCCTTTCAGAGTCACAAAGCGCTTTACAATTGTGGTGGACATTTGGAGCTGGCTCGCCAAACAGGAGGCGTATGCCAGACCTATTGTACATGTTTTTAGTGATAGGGGAAACCGGAGCACCCGGAGGAAGCTTACATAAAGGGGAGAACATGCAAACTCCACACAGAAAGGTCCTGGAGGGGGAATCAAACCCAGGACCTTCAGCCTGTGAAGCACAAGCACTAACCACTGACCCACCGTACCGCCCACTTTTTACAACATTGAAAAATTACACATTTATTATTATACATTGCTAAATAACTGAATACATGAATAAATAAATACAAATTGTGTTCTTGGGGTGGGAGTAAAAGGAACTATGTAAGAACATTCTCAAAACAGTTTTGGTTCTATGCTGTCCAACTGCCGTCTACTCAAGACCAATCAGATCGCTGCTTTGACAAAGCGTATAAACGCCAGAGGTTTTTCCCGTACAAACGCTGTCACCGCCGCCTCGACTACTGCCAGTAACACGGATACAACATGGATGTTTACCACTCATAATTTACTTCAAAATACTTTAAAGCTAGAGTAACATTCAACACAGAAAATATACCATGTCATGAAATCCATCCAACTCGCTCTCAAAATGATTTGGTTTTATCACACGTGACATTGTAGATTTGTTTTAAGAAAAAGATAGGACCAACCTCTGTTAGCTACAAAAGTTAACATTATCTAATAGATGAAGCTAGCATGTTGTGTTCTGATTTGTCTGACTGTAGGGACAAAAAAAATGTATTATCTCTTCAAAAATATAGTTAGGTACCGCAGCTTTAAATTCTCAACTTTTGTGTATTTTATGTGATCATTGACGAATATTCACAAAATGCTGCACATCAGACAAAGGAATATGCACTCAGGAATCATAGAGATGACCAGCTTACAAAACCAGACAATTATTGACTCCAAGAATAAACAAATGCTCTCTCCCACTCTCGACGAGGGCAAAAGTCCAACACAATCAGGCGCCCAGTGGTGGGGGGCATTGTTTGCTCAGGTGGAGATGGAAGACCGGGTCCAGACCAGGACCAGGGGCCAGACCAGTCCCACAAGTGACGTCATCAGACGTCTTGATAAAACTGTTGGTTTGAGTTCTGGGGGGAGGTTAGCGCAGGGGAAGAGGAGAGGGACATATTAGTTGTAGGAGCACTTTTCTGTTGAATATTCTGTATCTGATTGTAAAGATAATTAAATGCAGATGTTAAACTTGGATATCTTCGTCTGATTTCTGTACCAAATTGTGGACACGTCAGCCAAAGGGAATTATTGGCTACATCATACTTATAAAATTGAGCGCATGTTTGAACCCACAGTCACCGCTCTGACTCATGCAGAGAATGAGAATCAGGAAGTTTCCCCATCAGCCTCTGTTGTACTTGCGAGACCTGGCATTTCCTTTTCCCACTTCACCACTTGCACAAAAAGTTGGAACGTCAGCCTCCGTTAGCCGTGTGTGGCAAAACGTTTTTCCATGGTGTGGGCAGCAGGTGCAGCCGATATGTTTTTGTAAGGCCCCTGTCGTCATCTGGGCGTGAGACGGAGCAAAACAATACGTACGGAAGAGGATTCGTCACTCAGCCGTGTGATTTTCCACCATTTTGGGTCATAGAAAACACTATTCTTGGGTAACTATTAGCATGAAAGGCTAGACTGTGGATTTACTTGAACATTTTTGTGTCTTTAACTATTGTTTTTAGGATTTATTACTATTATTATTATTTACAGGTTTTTTTGGCACAAGGGTAAGATAGTGGGGAAAAAAAGGATAAAATAAAATGTGTCTGGCTAGGCTGTATGAGACATGAAAATATAGTGTGAACTAATGAAGATGACACAATAGAGTAAGAAAAAATAAACAACAATAAACAGGTATCATGTGTGTGTGTGTGTGTGTGTATTCTAAAGCCTAATTATTATTCAATGTAACTCTAGACATACAATGACTGGAAAGCAGACGTCATGTAGTAAGTAAGTAAGTAAGTAATATTTTATTTATATACCGCCTTTTCACTGCACATCGGAGTCTCAAAGCGGTTTACAATTGTTATTTTTTTTTTGGGAGTGGGGGTGCCAGTACAGGAGGCACATGCCAGACCTATTGTACATATTTTTAGTGGTAGGGGAAACCGGAGCACCCGGAGGAAACCTACGCAGACACGGGGAGAACATGCAAACTCCACTCAGAAAGGCCCTGGTCCAACCGGGATTCGAACCCAGGACCTTCTTGCTGAGAGGCGAGAGTGCTATCCACTCAGCCACCGTGTAGAAAGAGCGATGTATCAGAATAGATTATTAATATTCAACAGCTTCAGTTTTGACCCCGCAACTCCAACCAAACTGACTCATATGTAAATAGCAATATAACACAACAGCCTGTTGACATGCGTTGATAAAAACAACATCAAAAATACAACTTAAAAACTGGAACAGGATCATGCTGAAGATACGGTTACTAACTTTCAAAACACAACAATGGAAATACTTGGAAACATTTGTATAACTACCGAGCTCTATAAGAGTTTGGTTCTATCACTAGTTTTCACATGCATATGTTTTTGGCCCCTGTCACATCTTTAGATCAGCTTTTTCAGACAAAAAAAGAGCAAAAGACAGGACGGACTACCCTTACTCAGCCAATCAGCTCTGGAGGGTTAAGGCCTAAAAAAGGCTTGTTCCAGTTCTGTGGAAATGAGGACAACCACCTATTGCCATCACCTCCAAATACATTACCCATAAAGCATCCCTCCTGTATGGTAAGTGACCCAGGACATTAGTATATAACAATGTAATGGTGATAATTATATAAATCTGACTTGTATGTGCATTTTTATCTGTATGTTTTTAATGTGATTCGCTTTGTGATCCTGGTCTGTCTGCTTACTTATTTACTTACTGAATAAAACAGATTGGACAACCACAATATTGCAAGGATAGAAGAGGACAACTTGAAATGCAAGAAGAAGAACAAGATGCAACATTCTGAAAGCACGTGGAAAATGGAAGAACTCAAAGAGAAAGATGCTGAGCCAGGAGTCGGACTTCAAGAGGATGATGAGCGGGTAAAGAACCAGCAGGCGGAAAACCAGTGCATGAAACAGACCTGGAATACCCTCTGAGGAGGCAACGGCAGAGCGTTCACAGAGAGGCCATGAATGAGAAAGAAGCTCTTAAGAATGAACTGATGCAGGACAAGGAGGAAGCAGATTCAGAACTGGGCAGAGGACCTCACTCCACACATCTGTCCTCCCCTCCCCTCAGGTCAAGAGTCTGGGTGTCATTCTCGACAGTTCACTCTCCTTCCAATCTCACATCAATAACATCACTCGGTCCGCCTACTTCCACCTGCGCAATATCTCTCGTCTCCGCCCCTCTTTCACCCCCCACACCACAGCCTTGTCACCTCAAGGATTAACTACTGCAACTCTCTTCTTTTCGGCCTCCCCAACAAATCCCTCCAGAAACTGCAGCTCCTCCAAAACTCTGCAGCTCGCATCATCACCCGGACCCCCACAACTGACCACATCACCCCCGTACTCCGACAACTCCACTGGCTCCCTATTAAACAGCGCATCAACTTCAAAATACTCCTCACCACTTTCAAAGCACTTCACAACCTGGCCCCTCCGTACTTATCTGACCTCCTCCACCCCGCCACTCCTGTCCGCACACTCCGCTCCTCCTCCACTCTCACACTCTCCGTCCCCCCAGCCAGACTCATCACCCTGGGACACAGAGCCTTCAGCCACTCTGCCCCCCCGCTCCGGAGCTCTCCCCCCTGACCTCCGTACCATCGACTCTCTCCCACTCTTCAAATCCAGACTCAAAACCCATCTGTTCAGACTGTCCTTCCCCACCTAACACACACGCACCCACCATTCCATATTGTACTGCTGTTTTATTCTGTTGCTCCTGTTTTTAATGTTCATGTTTTTATTATGCTCTGTACTGTGTCCTTGGGTGTTTAGAAAGGCGCTTTTAAATAAAATGTATTATTATTATTATTATTATTATTATTATATTCCAAAGAGAAAACAAAGCAAGGTTGTCTTCAGACCAAACCAGCCTGCATAGTTTACAATCACTTGGGACTAAAACTTCTAGACCGGTCCTCTGATATTTTGGCCTTTTTAAATCCAGGCTCAAAACTCATTTATCCAGACTGGCGTTTAACACTTTTAACACTCATTAGAGTAATATTATAATAATGCGTTTTATCTTTTGCTTTTTGATTGCATGATTTTTTTTATTGATTTTGTGATTTTATTATTGTAAAGCACTTTGGTCGCATTGAGTGTTATAAAGGGCTCTATTAATAAAATGTGATTGATTGATTTTCCAGAGGTTAAGACGACAAAACAGCTTCCTCACTCCTTGCTCCTAACCCCAAACTTCCCAGCTCTCCTCATATCAAAAATGAAGTTCACCCTTTTCAAAACTTTTGCATTTTTGTTTTACCTGATATGTCTTATATGTTTTCTATCTATCTAAAAGATCTGCTTGGACTGATTGTATTCATTGGACTGCATTGTCGATTCCTATTTCTTTTCATATTTAATTTGAGTCTGAAAAAAGATGAATCATTATAATGCTTGTAAAGGTGAATGATTTTATGTCTTTGTAAAGCACTGCATGAACTGCGCTTTATAAATAAACTTGACTGAACTACATCAGAGACGGCACATTTGAATCCTGTCTCACCTCTGCTTCTTCCAGATACAGATAAAAAATAACAATCACAGCGTCACAGCGTGTGAAAACTAGTGATAATACCAAGCTGTTTTTAGAGCGAGGAACTAGTGGTCTGGATTAGAAGCGTGCGACACGGTTTTAAGACAGTTTCCCACTCACTATTCCAAAAGGTCACCTCAGTAGCACAGCACCAAACACAGACTGTTGGATAGGAAGTGCCCATACACACGATACATGGGAACGTTTACATCTAATTCTTTTTCCTAGTCCTCAAAATCCATGGACTTCAAAGCCTGAAATACTACCTTGAATATCATAACAGTATATCAAAATAACGCTTTGTAATTCCCATGAGGTAACTGTTCAGAGTAAACCTTAAATTGTTTCCTCGACCATTTGGTAGATCATCTTTTGAGTCAATATATCTCCTTTAAGCATGTTTGGAACTGAAATATACCTTTTTGGGGCATCGCACTTGGTTTAAGACACCTTTATCAGAAATCAATAACCTCAACCATTTGGTAAAAGCCTATCAAAAAAGAAAAAGAAACAAAAGAAACCGTAAAATCTATATATTTGTGTTATTTGTGCACCTACGGCTTAAAAAACCCAAACAAGAAAAAAATACTTTGCTTTCTTCAAGGAGTGAACATTAAAGGGTTAATGAGCAACTTCACCAATTTGTCGATATTTACAATACGTCATGTTTTTCCTTCTGTCCTCGCTCAAAGCACTGACTATTTCAAATTAATATATACAAAGCAGGTTTATATGAGGTAAAAGTATTTTGTTTTCTTGCTGTACTCAGCCTGAGAAACCCGTGCTGCTGTCAGCGCATTCCCAACATAAAATATTAACTGATTTTTAGTCCAGTGGAAGCTCCAAGTTCAACCAAAAACGATGAATGAAGGTAATAACAATTTTCTGGTATGTAGAGAATCCTTTCCTATTATTGTCCATTAAAGCTGGGGTACCAAACTTTCACATAACATTAACTATGTGGTACAAGCCATGTGATGAGCTTCATTCAAATACAATTCAATTTCTTTTTGGATATCACTAAAATACAATGGCAGTCATCTGGAAAGACTTTACAAAGTTGTCGATTCAGCGACAGATCCGAGAATCAAACCGTTACAGCACAGTTCCTCACTCTCAAAACATCTGTCTTCTGTATCTTTTGTTTTCCCGTGCCTGTATTGTTGGTTCCATCACTCGTTTTCACATGTACAGCGTGTATTTTTGGCCTCGGACAAACATTTTAAAAAAGAGAACCACTCACTCAGCCCTCAGTGTCAAATATTTTTTTAGAATGCCACAAAATAAAAGTTTGATACCCGAGCTTTAAGTTTCCGTGTGATTTCTTTCTGACTTGAATGCGTCTGTTCATGATGAGATGGTTTGACTGTAGTGCAGTGTACAGTGGATTAACGGCTTATTAAACGAGCGCGAGGTCTGTACAGAGAAATGTCTGTGCAAAAAGACCAAGGTCTGATATTTCTCTGTACAGACCGAGCAAGCGAGGTTAATAAATGTTTTATTATATGACTATTTTTAATCTGTGCAAATATTGATCGGTTTCAGCGAGCAAAAACACATGCAACCAAACTGTCAAATGGTGACATGGAGAACTTATCAGATGATTGAGGTCTCCCGCTGGTAAGATCTCAATCTCTTCTGTGGCTTTACCAAAGCTTTTTGTGAAGTATGTTCATGTCCGACTTGGTTTTCCTAATCGTGTTTTTACCTTTCTGGTCTGTAACGAAGTTGTCAATCTCTTCTTGACTATTAGGAGTTGTGTATTCGTCGTTATTTGCTGTTATTACTTCCTCTGGCTCTTCGAAGTCGTCCGGATAATAGAATTCAATGAAGAATGCTCCCAGTCGTCGCCCATTATTTCTTTTTTACAGAGGAAAGATATCAAATCTGATATGCGCTGCGGACCAATTGTCATGGTAACGGTCCGAGATGGGAAAATATCAGACCGCAAATCAACCAATCAGAGCGCGCGTACGATCAAATCTTTGTGTAACTAATACTGAAGGACTTTACACATTCACAATATGAGACTGTTATGGAATTTTCTGAAAATGTAAAACAGTCCAAATAAATCATAAATGTGAATGTTTAAAACCAAATTTCGGTCAGTTTAATAATTCGATTTTTCATTTGCCGAAAAGTATGTCAGGTAAGGCTAAGAAAAATGAATCATTTCTAGCTTCCCTACACTTTTGTCTCATTAAGAATCTTCTAAGCCTTGAATATACGGAGACATAATGAACTTTACACATTTAGGTAAGTAAAGTAAGAATTAAATTGACCTTAGCCTTCAACCACAAGCGACATTCATCCCAAAAGAGCAACAATTTGAGTACTTACAGCTCTGAGCGTCCACTCCTCTCAAAAACCCCACATCTTTGAACAAGAAAAACAACAAAATTAGTCAAATACAAAATTCAAAATCCTCATTTAGGCAACATTTTTGATTGAGAGGCCTTACAGCTGTTCAGTAGCAAAGAGGTGAGCAGCAACACGACCACCATCCTGACCCAGAGTGTGTGTGTGTGTGCGCCCTGTCCGATCACTGTCCAGGGCAGGAATGGCAGCAGTGTGGACGTAGATTTGGGTTTCGTGGGCGGGACGGGGGCATCCTGAGGTGGTACTTCAGTGGAGACAGTTAACACAAGCAGCACAGAGTTGGTTTTAATTTGAGAGGAAGTGAGTGTTGTTTCCTGAGGATGTCCCGGCTGCCCGCGTCTCTCCCGTTCAGGAATGCGCTCCCCTGGACTCCGCGGCGGCTTACTGTGCTATGTGTATGTGTGTGTGTGGGGCATCTTTAACTAGTCTTATGGGGACTTCCCTTATGCCCAGACTGTCACTCACTGCTGCTATGGCCTCGGGACGTGACAAATAATAAGCCTCTTGTTGAAATGGTGTAGACAGGTTGAATCAGTACGGAGTGACATTATTCATATTTTGTTGTTGTGAGACTAAGTAATTGCCCCATTAGTATTTTTTTACTCGACTGAATGGCCTCACAGCGACGAAGTTGGGGCGGGGGCTTTCTGGTGTAAGATTTCTCTTCATGTTTGGAGGCCTCATTCCTATTCTCACTTTTGTGTTTTTCCTTGCTGATTCAGGAGGGTCTAAGGACAGTGGAGATGGACGACTTTTCTATTCTATATCTATAAACATCTATTGACATTCATGGACATTGGTCATCTGCCCCTTATGGACCAATGGCTCTATGTGTCTACAGTTGCATTTCCTGAATTTTAACTTTTTGATTCTCTGATCTGTGTTGGAAAATTCACTATTTTGTAAAGATTTTAGATTTGCTTACTTATTACGCTAAAGCTAGAGATTGTATACGTGTTTCTCAATTATGCTAAAGTAAGAGCTTGTTTTATCTTGTGCTGTGTGCTCCTCATTCCTACTGTTCTGTCACTGGTGATGCAACACTGACATTTCCTCACTGTGGGACGAATACAGGATCTGCTTATCTTAAAAAACGACTGTTGTGATTTAAGGCTAGACAAAAACAAATAGATTTCTTTTTATTTCCTTTGTTAAATGTACATATCTAAACATTTGTACCATATAACAAAGTCTATTTATTGTCTCCCATAGAGTACCTCTTGGGAAATTTTCCTCATTTGAGTATGTCTCTTTTAAAATAGAACAAAAACAATCTTCTATTCTTATTATTGTTGTGTACAAGCCGCCACAATCATGTCATAGTTTCACTGATCATTTCACCGAGTTGCTTTCAGTTGTGTGCACAGACTTTGATAGTTTAGTCGTCATAGGTGATTTTAATATACATGTAGATAACGTTAATGATAGATACGCGAAAGAGCTGAGCTCTGTGCTGGAAACCTTTGGTCTCACTCAGCATGTGAGTGGCCCCACCCACAGCAGAGGACACACTCTCGATCTGCTAATTACTAAAGGGGTTAATATCTCAAATGTAAATGTGGCCAATGTTGCTCTGTCGGATCATTTCTGTGTATTTTTTGATATGTGTCTCAATAGTAAAGCACGAGCTGAATCCTCAATTGTTAGAAGAAGAAGACACATAAACGAAAATACAGGTGAACTTTTCATGGGGATGATAAACTTTGATAACAGGTTGTGTTCTACTGTGGATGAATTACTTAACTCTGTCACCTCTAGTGTTTTGGATGTTCTGGACACGATTGCTCCTGTAAAGGTCAAAATTGTTACAAATAAGCAAAAGGCGCCATGGACAAAAGCAGACTCTGTCAGGGCACAGAAGAGAGAGTGCCGGAGAGCCGAGCGGAAGTGGCGAAAGTCAAATCTCCAAGTTGACCATGAGATCTTCAAAGATGCATTGTGCAAGTTCAACAGTGTGCTACGTAGAACGAGGGAAACTTATTTTTCCGAAACAATCGAAGGTTGCAGTAACAATCTACGCGTTCTGTTCTCAACAGTAAATAAATTGACAAATCCCTCTGTTAAGATGCCATCAGAGCTTACCTCCAAAACCAAATGTAATGAGTTTGCAGAGTTTTTTAATGACAAAGTCCAAGGAATCAAAAATGCCATCACCTCCACAGTAGAATTTACAATCCAACAGCCAGTGAAGCTTTTTGGGCTGACACACTTTACACCAGTACAAAATGAAACTGTCCGAATGATTATTACAAGTCTGAGTTCTTCCACATGCAGCCTGGATGTATTACCTCCTAGATTTCTTAAATCTGTTCTGAGCAGTCTTTTACCTTCACTCACGCATATAGTAAATATGTCTCTTGAATCTGGAACATTCCCAATGGCCCTTAAAACGGCAGTCGTCAGACCCCTCCTAAAAAAGAGGAGTCTGGATGCCTTGGCACTTAAAAGTTATCGGCCCATTTCAAATCTGCCTTTCATGGGTAAAATTCTAGAAAAAGTTGTCTATCAACAACTTACAGAATTTTTAATAATCAATCACTCTTTTGATATGTTCCAGTCTGGTTTTAGACCCCACCACAGCACAGAGACCGCTCTAGTGAAGGTAACAAATGACATCAGACTTAACACTGACGCAGGAAAAGTCTCAGTTCTTATCCTGTTAGATTTAAGTGCTGCTTTCGACACTGTCGATCATGGTATCCTCATTCAGAGACTTGAGGACTGGGTTGGTGTTTCTGGTACAGCCGTAAGCTGGTTTATGTCCTACCTACAGGACAGAAAGTATTTTGTGGAGATCGGAAACTGTATCTCAGACCATCTGGCCCTAACCTGCGGAGTGCCAAAGGGATCAATCCTGGGGCCTCTCCTGTTTAATATTTACATGCTGCCTCTGGGTAGGTTAATACACAGTAATAACGTGTCCTATCACAATTATGCTGACGATACTCAGGTCTATGTGTCCCTGACAGCAAGAGAACATGGACCAGTGGACTCGCTCCTTCACTGTATCCAACAAATCAGTGATTGGATGTAAAATAACTTTCTCCAGCTAAACACAGAAAAAACTGAAATTATTGTTTTTGGACCTCAAAAACAAAGAGAGAGCGTTATCTGCCACCTCCAGTCTCTCTCCCTAAAACCCTCAACTCAGGTCAGAAATCTAGGAGTAATAATGGACTCAGACTTAAATTTCAATAGCCACATATCATCTGTGACATCATCAGCTTACTTCCACCTAAGAAACATTGCTAAAATTAAAAACATAGTGTCTAAAGCAGACTTAGAGATTCTCATCCACGCATTTGTCTCCAGTCGATTGGACTACTGCAATGGCTTGTTCACAGGTCTCTCTAAACAAGCGGTAAAGCAGCTGCAGTACATCCAAAATGCAGCAGCTCGAGTCCTGACTAGAACCAGGAAGTACGACCACATTAGTCCGGTCCTCAGGTCTCTGCTCTGGCTTCCTGTGGCTCAGAGAATAGACTTTAAAGCAGCTTTACTTGTGTACAAGTCTCTCCATGGCCTCGCACCAGGGTACATCCGCGACATGTTGGTGCCATATGAACCAACTCGGACTCTGAGGAGCACAGGGACTGGACTTCTGTTAGTGCCAAGAGTCGGAACTAGACATGGGGAGGCTGCGTTTCAGATTCATGCAGAGTCTGGAACAGTCTTCCCGAGAATGTGAGACAGGCGTCTACTCTAGCAGTTTTTAAAACTGAACTGAAAACAGTTCTTTTTAGCTGTGCATACAAGTGAATGATTTTATATTTGTTTTTATCTTTAATCTTTTTAATGCGCTATGACTATTTATGATTGTAATCCCTTGTGTGATTTTAATGTTTTACGGTTTTTAACTACTTGTGTGATTTTATATATCTTGTGCTCTTAATCTGTCTTTTTATGTTTACTTAAATTCTAATGTTTGATGATTTATGCATGATGTTATATGGGTTGTGAGGCGCTTTGCGTTGCCTTGTGTAGGAAAGGCGCTCTACAAATAAACGTTGATTGATTGATTGATTGATATACAGTTTCTCCCATTGCCTTAAAACAGTAGATTCCTTACCAGCGGAGACTGGAAAATTGAGAGGGAGCTACTTTAAAAAAGGAAAATTCTTGTCTGGCTACAAATAATATTCCGGCTTCACTGTTATAACAAGTCACGATCAATTTTTTTCCTGAGAAGTTTGCTTATTGTGCATCTTTTTCGTCATAAGGCACTTTGCTTTCCATCCGTTCTTAACCACTGATGGCTCTGACAGAGTGGGACATCTGATAATTCTGGGTGAAGATGTCAAAAATAATGAGGCTGTTGAACTGTTCTGGTTTTTAAGTTTAAATGTCGGCAGCCGAAGGGATTGGAAATGTGACTGAATTGGTGAGTGAAGTCATCTGTTCTCTCTGTGGGTGGGACAATAGCAATACAAGTCTTTGCTGTGTCCCCATAGAACATTTGAACCTGACAACAGTGTGTGTGTGTGTGCTTTTGCTATGTACACTGTGTCGAGGCCCTTGAGCTTTGACCCGGGTTCCCAAATATTGTCAGACACTTCCCACCACTACCATTCACTGGAACATGTGGTGATGGAGAAACAATCTAAAAAAAAAATCTACATAATTGATTAATTCTATCGTCTATTGTGGAAATAAGTTTAGCTTTCCACCAAATTGTAGAGACTAATACTTTCATAATGACATTCACATTCAACTTAGACAGCAGATCCATCTCTTAAAACATTTCAGTGCTCCATCTTTTATCTGTTTCAAAAAATGTCTGCCACCTTCACTCATTGACTGCCAGCAGTTTTTGAGCATTTCACTGACATTCAAGACCCACAGATTATTTGATGCTATGACTATGTGAAAAATGAAACCAGATCTACTTTCATCAGCAAAAATGTTGGTTTCTAGCTAGTTTTTTCTCCTGTAATACGCAATCGGAAGTTTGACAGAAATCACCAGTCTCAGACAAATACGTCTATGGCAGTCAATGGGTTAAGGGTAAATACAGTATTTTCCCCACTGTAGGACTAAAAAAGGTTTCATTCATTCATTTATCAAAAAAAATCACTTTAATGCCAGAAAGTGGGACATTTTAAGCCACACATAAGTTTTCATCTGAATAATAAATCATTTCTTTTTTGGGGCTTAAAAGAGAAAGCCCCAAATTCTAATTGGCTGTTTAGAAGAGGTTTTTTCATTTTTACTCTGAAAGGGCTGCTCACAGACAGCTCAGAGGAGTAACCATAGCAACACATCCAAACGGGACCTTTTGAGATCCTCGAAGAGATACGTCTCCATTGAACTAAACACCTACACGTTTTTATTGTTTTTGTTAATAACTTTTAGAATCGTTGAAACGTGTGAATCTGACGGAAGTTTTTACTGCCGACAGAGAAGCCCAAAGTACTAGTCTTGGGTATTTAGAAAAGCATAGGCAAGTAAACTATGGCAAACATAAAAGTACTTCAATCATTCCCGTCCCAAAGTAGTTTTGTGTTGAAAAATTGACAGACAGCATTTGCCCTTTTAACGCTGGAGTCACTTTTCCATTTGGTTTTGTAAGTCAGGCACTACAACTTTAAGCACTGCCTACAAAAGACACATCCATTTGAGGAATTGTCACATTCTCTGCTAGCATGAAACTTAACATGTAAAACTTACGCCAAATAGCTTACCACAAGGAGTTATATAAAGTAGAAGCATAGCTAACCTCTTCAAACCTGTTTATGACGCTGCGTTGCCATCTGCAAAGTAACTAGTCATTTTTAAACCTAAGGAGAAGAAAGTCAGACATAGTAAAGAACTAATACCAGGAAGTAAAGTATCCAAATCCAAACCCAAATTGTAGTAATTGTGAGAAAGACAGAGAGAACGTGGCTCTGGTGTTGTATTTGGTTTATTTCATCTCCTATCTCATAACAAAGCAGCCACAGACAAACCTGATTGTTTTAACATTTCCTGCGCAACACAACTCCCAAGTCTTTTCTTTCTGTTCTCCAAATCCTAAATCGTGCAGCTGTTGTGGTGTTTTATTTTCTGAGAGACATCTGTGACGTTTTAGTGAGGTGTAGAGAATGGGATCAGTGTCAGCGTGGACTAACCTTGTTCGAATTGTAAAAAAATCTTGGGAGGAACAACCCAAAGAGAGCGGAAGATAGCGATGCCAAATGAAGTGGCACATACTTTTGTACAAGTTTGCCTGTCCTGCTGCCTCAGTCTTACTCAAGTCAAGGCCTAACGACGGAAAAGCAGAGTTAAAAACACAAAATTACAAAACAGAACAATTAAAAACAAAACAAACAAATGTACAGAAGCAAAGCTCAAGGAGAGAGGCACGTTATTTTTGAGATAATAATTGAAAACAGCACCACAGAGACGATAGCAACGGGACAAAACCGCTCTGGGCCGAGTACGCAACCGTTCCCGATGAACTCATTTTTGAATCCAGTATTGCTTGACCCAGATCGGACGCCACCTTTGTCGTCGTCATTTTTTCAAACAAAACTCAAAAGCCAAAAACGATAAAACCGAAAAAATAAAAGACTAAATATTTCACAGCTGAAAGATCAATTATGGCATTATTACTTATTAAAATTAAACTAAACTAAGTGGCACACACAAAATACACCGTTTTTTAGTCGTATTGCTTTATGGCTGCTTGGATTGAACATGTGTTGAGGGTACATTTTATATTCAAGTGCTGTGTTTCCAGACATGAAGGAAGGGGTTTCTTTTTTTTTTTGTTTTTTTTGGAGGCTAGGTCCTATATAGAAAATCATGATTATTGCTTTTGCAGACGTACCGTTCGAGGCTCTTTCTGTTGTTGGCTATAAAACAACACGTTTTCGGTCTCTGCTGTAGCGAACCCTAATATACCCTGGGATATATACTTTCCCATATAACAGGTAGAAACATCTCAAAGCAAACCGTGTGGGGTGGGGCAAGCCATGGATCCGGGAAGGGAAAAAAACGAAAAATTTGGCACGCTGGCAACAAAGAACTGTGCTAATGTCCGCTGTAACACACACACACACACACACACACACACACACACACACACACACACACACACACACACACACACACACACACACACACACACACACACACACACACACACACACACACACACACACACACACAAGGATGACATGCTGCACTCAAGGCAAAATCATGTTGCGTTTTTGCTTCTTCGAGTTTGAAGATACGGCGAAGGCTTAATCAGTGTGCGTTTTGCAGCCGCCGCTCGCACACGGTGAGGTCCAGCTGAGATGTGCGACGTGTAAAAACGGGGGAGGAAATATTTCTTAAAGTCCGAGCAAAGCAACAGTCCGCTCCTCTAGTTTTCTGTTAAAATAAATCCTTTCTCTCTTTTACTTTTTTATCACCCTCCGTATAAGCCTATTTAAATATACACAGCCCGCAGCATGGCCAAGTCTACAATCATTTAGCTTCATAATAATTATATGAATAAACAAACGTAAAGATAATTATATATAGTATGTATATATAGAGTCTTTTGTAGTTTTGTGTTGTGTCAGCAGCCTTCACTTGAACATTCAGGTATTGGTGGTAGGAGGGGTGGGTGGAGGGGGTAATTGCTTATGTACAAAAATAACATTTACATCCGGAAAGCGAGGCCCGGTGTCCAGTCACGGTGTGGGAGGGGAAGGGGGAAGGGGGGGTGGTATTGGGTGGGGGGTTTAATGCTGGTATGTGTTATCTCCGCTCCAGTCTCTTCTCTGCGGAGTAGATGGACATGTAGAAGTCGTTGCTGCCGACCGCCAGGTGAGGCTGAGGAGAGACGGGAGAGAGAGTCAAGAGGAAGAATATAATGACAGTGAATCCTAGCATAGCCGCTTTGTACAGTCTCGCATATATGCATTCATGTTTATCTGGGTAGGAAATTGTATTATTTTAAAATTGTATTTATTTTATTTATTATTATTTTTCATTTTATTTATTTTATAATTATTTATTTTTTATTTCCTCTATTTTGTTATATTTATTTTATAATTATTTATTTTTTATTTCCTCTATTTTGTTATATTTATTTTAATATTTTATTTACATTATTATTTATTTTATGAATTCATTTTGTAACTATTTGTTTTTTATTTATCCATTTTATTTGATAGGGATGTACAGAATCAATATATGTATACCTGCGCTACTGCACGACCGGTTAGACAGTAAAGCGCATTTCGTTGCATTGTTCTGACTTTGTAATGACAAACAAGTTGAATCTAAGATAATCTAAAGTGAATAAGACTTTTACTAAAAAGACATATTTGATAAATTGAAACTAATCAAATATTAAAATAGTCATTAATTCGTTTTTATCCTCTTTATTAGTCCAATTCTGTCGGAACTGCCACTCAATCACCCTGGCCCTCGCCCCACACTGATCCTCCTGCAGGTCGTGCGTTTGCGGGAGAATGGCAGCTCAGCGGGGGTTTCAGGCAAAGTGGGATTAAATGTCTTGCTTAGGGACACAACAACCGCAGACTCCAGTGGGATGGGTGACATGTGTAGTGGGGGGGGATCGAACCCACAACCATTAGGTACAAGGACCAAATGTTGAAACAGTAATGTCAACGTGAATCATATGCACTGATTAAGAACAGTCAGTGTATATAGTTTTACAGTGTATGCACGGCTTTTGACAGCTGCAGCAGCGCTCAGACCTACAAGGAACAGGTCTAGTGGTTAGCAAAGAGTCTGAAGTGTGTGATGGGGGGTTTTACAGCCAGGATTTGGCTCATTCCGGGTCATTTTGAGACGTATTGTTACATCTGGAAAATGGTTAGAGTTCTATCCAGCGGAAAAACTGGAACTAAAGCATATTTTTTGACTATTTAACAAGATTTTTTGGATATATCCAGCTCATTTGTAGTTGTCCTACTTCCCTCACATGCATTCATCACAAACACAGGATTCATTTCACATTCCCTCTCATATTTATTTGTCAGATGTAATTTAATGTAATTCGAAACCCGGCGCTTGCTAATGCTGCAATATAGAAATCAGCTAATGCTATCGCCGCAGCAATAAGCCCAAATGAGGAACATTAGGAGAGCTAATGTGTTTTCTGCATTCAGCGTCAGGAAAGCCCAGTAAATCCAAATCACACTCCACATATTACGGCATTCACGGGCTTTTGCGGTCACTGTAGATTTGTGTGGAAAAGATAAATGGTGCCATGATTACAAAATTGTCATTGTTCAATATATTTCATTATAGCATTAAGTTCACCTGCTCAAAGGCTAAAACTATTCGACCAATCACACGGCAGCAGCTGAATGGATTTAGGCAAGTAGATGTGGTGATGGCAAATTGCTCAAAATCCAAAAGTTTTAAGTGACTTTGAACATAGTGTGGTTATCATTTCTAAAACTAAATGATTGACCGGCATCTGCAAAAAAAGTGGCTTGAATTTGGTCACAACGGTCCTAATTATGGTACATTTTTATGCCTTGAAATCAATGGGACAAGCCAAAATATCCCTTTAATAGTTTCCTCAACCATTCGGTGGATCACGTTTTCAGTCTCTGTATCGACTTGAAGCCTGGAACTGAAATCTACCTTATTGGGGCACCGCTATCACTTGGTTTTAGGCAATTTCACCATTAAGCTGCAGCGTAATAATTTGGTAACAATCTAGGTGTTCCTAAAGCTCCTACAGTTTAGAAAATCAAAAAAAGAAGAACAAATTAAAAAATTACAATTTTCAAAGAGAGAACATGTTTTGGCTTATTCCATTGGTAAATCTTGTATTAAACTCTAATCACTTGAATGAAGATAAAAACGCCTTGATTCAAGCATTTCACTTCCTTATATCAATTCATTTTTGCACTGCTGCTATCTCTACAGTTTATGAAGAATGGTCAGAAAAATGGTCTCAGGAGAATGGGTCCGACTGGTGTATGTGTATTGTATACTGTAATGGAGTACTGTTTGCTAGCATTGCCTCAGGACTACAGATAGAAACTACAGCTGTTTACATAATACTGGCAAATTTACGGTTATGTGGATTAATATGTATTTTCCCAATTCAAATAAATTAAAAGAAAAATGTTTTTGTAACTACACTAGTTGTGAGGCTGCTTCCAAAACAACACCACACCATAACACTTCTCAGATAGTGATGATAGATTGTCAGCCACATAGACAACAGTTTACCCAGTACGGATGGAAGGCTAAGCAGCTGATGGCGCCGATCCTCTGTCCCATGAAGCCGTCGTAGTATTTGATATTGCTGATGACGTCTCCATTGGAGTTGTGAACGGCGATGAACTGGTTCATTGAGCCACTGCACAACGACACAAAATGACAGACAGATGAGCGCTGAGTACTTGCATAATAATATCCTCCACAGTCATCTTATTCGGTGCACACTTAAATCCAGAGCTTTGCCGAGAAACTAGAGGCACACATTTGGCAAAACATCCAGATATATACGGATAAGACACTCGACATTACACAATAACATTTATGGACATTGGTCATATGTGTTTTTGTGTGTGTTTGATTCTTTGATCTGTGTTGGCGAAATTGATTTGAAGTCCTCTGAGATAACTACTGTTGTGATTTAGGGCTATACAAGAATACATTGAATTGAATACATATACAATTTACAACTCGCAGATAGCTCCATCAATAGCCTTCTCTATACTATAATTATATTTCAGATAAACATCCAACCTAACAGCAGAATTCTTGAAGCATTGATAACATATTAGGGCCAAATTTGTGAGTAAAAGAATCAAATGTTGCAGAATCTGACAGTGTATAGCTGTGTTCCCCAAACTTTTTCAGTTGTGGCATTGAATTGCATTGACGTTATTCATTGCCCCATTTCCCCGTTCGAGTTTACGAGTACTGGCTTCTTTTGGTCCCAGTTTATGGACTCACCAGGCGAAGAGGTTTGCTTGAGGGTGGATGTCCAGTGCCGTCAGCCCTTTCACAGTCTGAAGCACGTTTACCGAGTCTGGACTTCGGGGGTCAAAGAAACGTACGTCTCCGTTAACACTAAGAAGCAGAAATTCCCCAGTCAAATACAAACAGATCCTTAGAAACAATTATAATATGTGTATATAATATGACATGACATCACCTGACACTGATTATGTGACCGTCTGTCTCCTTCTGCAGATGAGCTTTGACCACCCAGGCGCCATGCTCTCTGTACGTCATTACACGACTGAAAAAGACAATCACAATCCATTTAAAAAAAACATGTATTATAATGTACTAAAGTGCATTCTCTCCAAGATCTGGCAACCCTTCTGTGGCTATATTCAGACTTTCTGGTCTCGTAGAATTCACACTTAGGTTTCCTCCGGGTACTCCGGTTTCCCCTACCACTAAAAAATATGTACAATAGATCTGGCATCCGCCTCTTGTACTGGCGACCCTGCTCCCATCTCTGTGTGGAGGGAGAGGACAAATGCCCACAATTGTAAACCGCTTTGTGACTCTGGTCTGTGAAAGGCGCTATATAAGAAAGAAAAAAAAGAAAGTACTGTAGATGGCTTTGATGTGGCTGATGTGTGTGTATATGTAAATTGGTATGATATATATTTTTGTTGAGTAGCAGTGTGTATATTAATGTGTGTGTACTAGGTGTATTGTCATGGCCCAGTCTTGGCTGCCCTCTAGTGGCCATCTGCATATTTGCTGTTCTCTGCAGGTGTTGCTGGGGAGTGGCATTGGCTGTGACTGCATCTAGGTCCGACGCACATAAAAGACATCCATGGGCTCCGACTGGCTCACTTCACCCACACCTTTCTGGCATTAGTTTGGCTTCCATTTCATAATAAACTATTTTATTATTGACCTCCATTTGTTTGGTGTATCCTCGGTTATAGCCCTGTAAATTTCTCCAGTCTGAAGTCTATCTTATCTTATCGCTGGGTAACAGTATGCAAATCTATATATGTATACATTTCTTCTGTTGCTGCTGCTGACAGATTGCTTGTGGCTATTACAGCATTTATAAATAATTTTCTTTTTGTTTTGTATGTCAAAAACTTGCAAAACTTGTTGTAAAATATTGGTGTGGAAAGCCCAATAAAATATGTTTTGAAAAAATAAAAAAATGCATTCTCTGGTGTAAAAATATTAAAAACTTAAGCTTGAACAATTTATATAAAATCTACAAGGGAATTAATATATTTTATGGTATTGAAATGGGAACATTCTACACAAAATATCTTCCTATGCTGCTGGCTACGAAATGTTGCAAGTGCAGTTGTTGTACATGAAAGTGAACACCAGGTAGCACTGTGAGATCGTGGAAGAAAGACCTGTGCCTGAAACGGTCACCACTGGAAGATTTTGACCGCAGAAAGAAATCCTTTTTCTCACATTCAGAGATGAGAACCAATTAGCAGCAATTAGATATTTGCCAGCAAGAGTACAACCTTTCAGTCTCAGAATGTTACTATCCATGTAGTGTGGTCCAGTAATAGATTATACAATATCTTTGGTCAGACAAAGTACATAGAAAGAAGCTCAAGACATTATGTAAGGTTTTCCATTAGGTTTCCATAATTGGCGCAGCAGAGTCTCACTTCGCTCACTATAATTGGCTATTAAGGTCTTTATACTTCACAAATTGTATAAAAAAAACTAAATACAGAGATATGTTTAAAAGAATCCATGCATTTAAAGAGTGTGGTTTGTAATTATACTGTGATTGACTGAACTCGATTATCAAGTCCAACAGAGACCGATACAGGACCATTTCTCACTGAGACACAAAATAAATATCATACAACTTTTCTGTGTGTGTAAGAAAAGTGGATTGGTTTCCATAATGCCAGTGAACGCCACATAAACGCCTGGTGTCCACTCAGAGTGCGGAGTCCTGGTGATTACAAGAGTGTTCTCTTATTGTTTTAAGGGATAGGGGAAACTGGAGCACCTGGAGGAAACCCATGCAGATGTACTGTATAACAATTAAATATACTGGAACTAGAATTGCCTTTTCTTTATGCAGGCTTATTCTAAACCAGATTACAATACAGTTTATCAACCAGGTGCCACCATGTGAATGAATAATGACATGTGAAGTGTTTTTGAGTGTCCAGAAAAGCACTATATAAAACCGATGCATACATTTTTCTGTGCAAATTAGATCAAATCTCACTTTTGAACCTAAACCGTCTGTGTGGCGCCCTCCCTACATTTCCGGTGGCACTACATTTGAATTTTGTGCCAATTGGCTCTGGAGTTTGGTGTGACGTGCGTCTCTCTGCGCCAGTGGTAAGAAAGCAGCTGAGTCTCACACACACCCCATAGCGAGTTGGAGTATTCTGCCGAAGTCTAGCCGTTTAAAATTAAACTACATCATTTGACAGCCACTACTATTGAGATAATTCTGGCTTAGGTTCAGCTAACTAGCTATACAATTATCTTAGTGTGTAAGCAAGGGTGGAATGAGAATTTGTCGGGCCCTTTTTAGAGAGAATTTTCAAATGTTCATATGGGCAGAGTAATCTTTAAATTATCTAAGAAACCTTTAAAACACTCACCATTCATTTGGGCCCATCCTTCTATCGAACACCCTGACAGACCCATCGCCGAGGCCAGCAACGATGAGAGAGCGCTGAGAGTCACTGGACAGACTGGTCACGCAGCTGTCGGCTCCGGTCGGGATGTCCTGTCCAAAAGAAACGCACAAAAACACAGCTTTACATATATCCCGACTCTTGAAACCCTTGGAGGACTAATCGCTGCTGTAGTTTGTAGACTATGGGCTCATTTAGACCAGAAACCAGCGTCGATAAGTCGCCACAGGCCGGGCGCATTTGTCGACAAGTTTGCTCCATCCATCAAGGCGCTGATTAGCACAGACGAGCATTAGGCAAAAAGAAAAAGAAAGACACAAAACCGCACTAATGGGCAGCATCACTTCACCTAACACTAAAAGTCAGTTGTTAAAGCAGCACAGTGGGGAACAGGGCAAATTTAGAAAGATAGTAGTGTCACAGAAAGAAGAAAGTGATACCAAATGGATGAATATGTACTGATTCAGCACAGTATTGAAGGAGAGGTGTAGGGTCGGAGAGTGTTTGGACCAGTGTGTGAGTGTGGGTGTTTTTCCTATAGTATCCGTACGTTTTCACTTCTGTATACTGTTCTGTATACCGCAAGTTTTCTGTTGAATTGACGATGGGGTTTGGGAATTTATAAGGTTTTGCTTCATCCAATCCCTTTTTGAACCATGTATTTGTTCATATGGATGTATGTTAAAATGTGATGCAGGGTCAAAATAAACAATTGCTACATTATAGTTACAAACTCTAACAATTGTTACTGTTATTCTATTGTCCGAGAGGTCTTTGATAATGTCTTTTTTAGGTATTTTTATTGTTTATCGTCTACTGTGGTGTATGCAAATGTATATGGATGTAAGGCATGGTAATCCCTGTCCCAAGACAAATTTCTTCTTATATCATCTAATCCTATCTTCTAAGGCGAAAGAAAAGGTTTTCTTGGCGGGGCTCACAGCGGCTAAGGAGATGGTCATGACATTGGTTTGACAGTGACATTGCCAATTTGGAGAGCTCCATTTACAATCTGGACCAATACAATTGGCAATATCTAGTCCTGGACTTAAATATATATATATATATATATCTGGCATTATGTCTGGCATGCTGTGACAAGTAAATGGAATTCTTTCAGCAAAAAAGTCTTTGCAGATATCATTATATTGTTGAAATTATATTTATAAAATGAAATTTTTTCAAAATGTGCGATTCAGCAAAAGAAAACTTTTTCACAGAGGGACAAATAACTGTTCTTTCTCTAATCTCATCTTAAAAGCGCTTTGACTTTATACCATCTAAATGTGACTGAGAAAAGCTGTGGATTCCATCTTCAGAGTTATTGAAGCCCTGTTAATGCTAATGTGTTGAAACTTTGTGAATCTAAAACTTTGACTACAACTTACTGCAGCTCATTTGTCTTAAAACCAGAGTGGCCTGCAGTGGCACCCTGGGGCCTTGCCCTTTAGACCAAATCCATGGTGTTAACGTTAATTCGCAACTTTAAAATGCAGGACGACGGCTCGAAGGCGTGATGTTTTCCACCAAAGTTACAGCTTTAAATGGTTTTTCCTAAATGTTAATGCGTCGTTACCTGGACTTTCATCTCCCGGTCCGTGTCCCAAATCCTGACGACTCTCACATCTCCAGACGTCATGAGAAGACCCGTGTCCTGCTCCCAGTCCACCACCATCCCTGCACCTGCAACAATCAACAATTATAATTCATCAAAAACCATGATCTCCAGAGGCCCCCCTCATGCAAATCACACACTTTATTGCAAATATACTTAGTCTTTTATCACTCATTTCTCGAATATAAAACTAGATGTTTTCCCCCTGCCTGGACTCCTGGCCTCAGTCCTGCACCCTGTGGTCTCTGTCCTCGTGCTACAGCCCAAGTCCTGGATCTATAGCTTATCCTTCTGTAAGTGCAGATCCCTCTCTCGGGGGAGGGATCTGCACTTACAGAGTGTTTCTCACTTTTTTCCCCACTGGGTTTTTGAGTTGTTCCTTGCCGATGTAGGAGGGTCTACGGACACTAATGATCGGGGACATTTAAGGACATTTATGGACATTGGTCACCCGCTTCATATGGACCAATGGCTCCTATGTGTTTGTTATTATTGCACTTCCAATGTTTGATTCTCAGATCTGTTTCAGCGAATGAACAACTTTGATGACTGCTGCTGTTACTGAGGAAATTAAATTGAATTAAACCAACGTTGATTCACAACACAAACTCAATGCTTCAAAAAGGCCTGCAGGTTTAGAGCAACTCATCAAATCTTCAGGTTAAGAACTGGACACACTTTAAAGAGTGACTAAACACCAAATCAAATTTTTTTAACTCATAAACTGCATAAATATGTTAATTGTAGTACTCTCTACATATCCTGGTAATTTCTTTGACATTTTAGTTCAAATTAGATAAAATCTCACTTTTGAGCCAAAAAACGTTTGTGTGGCGCCCTCTCAACCTTTTTGGTGGGACTACATTTGAATTTGGTTCTGGCCTCTCCATTGACTCTGTAATTCTCTATGACGTCAGTTGGTATGTGTGACGTCAGTCTGTCTGCACCAGTGATATAAACCCATTCAACTCTCACACACCCCAGGAGCAGGTTGGAGTATTCTGGCGCCATCTAGTGGTTTAAAATGAAATTACATGAGTAATTCTGAGATAATAACGGCTTATTATGATAGCAAGGTTAATAAATGTTTTATTATATGACTCTCGTCTGTGTCTTTACCAATGCTTTTGAGATTTTTGTGAAGTACGTTCATGTCCGACTTGGTTTTGTGTGATACGCGCTGTTCGGACCAATTGTCATGGTAACGGTCCGAGATGGGAAAATATCAAACCGGTAATCAGCCAATCAGAGCGCGCGTACGGTCCAAGTCATATAATAATTGTATTAGATTCAGGTGTGTAGCTACACAATAATCTTAGTGTGTGAACAAGGGTGGAATGAGACTTTCTGGTGTGTAAGTGAGCGGTCAATCACAGCCCAGACCACGCCCTCGAAGCCCCCCTTCGAGTCCTTTGGTCAACCAGGCAACGCCCTTTGAAGAGAACTTTTTCAAATCTTCATGTGGGCGGAGTAAGGGCGGAGTAAGTAAGTTAGTCGCTCTTTAAGAAATGGTCTGAGTCTGCTGTGCACGGCTAGGTTGGAATGAAAATCGGCAACCGCACTGGCACTTTGAGGACCGGTTTGACACCAGCTGATCACTGACATTGAGAAATGACTGTCACCTCACTCCTTGCCGATGCAGGAGAGCCTAAGGACAGTGATGATCCGGGATATTTATGAACATTGACAGGCATTGGTCATCCCACTAGCCATTAGATAGACCAATGGCTCCTATGTGTTTGTTTAATCAATTCGAATGGTTTGATTTCCGACTGCTGTTGTGAGTTAGGGCTATACAGATATAAATTGAATGGAATAGAACAAACAAACGCAGTGAAAGAGATTTAGCATATTGTATAGTCAGGTGGGACAAAGCATAAATATCTCTTCATATTCAAGGCTTTTTGCTTTGTTTACAATGTTTTCAATTGGTTAGAATAACATTTATTTGCTTGAAATGCTTAAGCTACAATCTCCCCTTACAAATGCTGCTGGGGCTTATGAATATTTAGTAAGTACAAATGAGTACAATTAATCATAAATAGGATGTGTTCGTGTTATAGAATGAATTTCAGTTCAGGGCAGGTGCCAATCCAACTCTGTGGGACTTATTTAAAGAAATGCTGAAAAAGAAAAGGTCTGAATGTTTTCCCAGATCATTATTTCATTTCATTTCATTTCATTTTCAACCCCTTTATTTGTCCATTTCTGGGTCGGGGGGGGTGGCAATGAGAGCTGCCACCCAATGCTCATAGCACCAGTCCCTCACTGATCCTCTGCAGGGGGTGAGTCCACAGGAAGATGGCTGCTCCATCAGTTGTGATACAGCCTTGATCTTTCAGCGGGGGGCTTCAGGCAACGTGGGGTTAAGTGTCTTGCCCAAGGACACAACGACAGCAGTCATCAGTGGGAGCAGTTGGAGTAAGTCCCATGGTGGGATTCGAACTCACAACCTCCAGGCCCAAAGGCCAATGCTCTACCAACTGAGCTACTGTCGCCCCTATATTATTTGAAGCCGATTTCATTTTTTTCATATTATCACCACTTCTAGACGTCATTCTGAGAAAATAATTAGACCATAGACCGTTTCTGTTTCATGTGGATCGGCTCAGGAATGAGAGAAATTAGCTCTATACAAAGACTAGAGGTCTGATTTTTGACAGTTACCATAGTTACCGGGACAGATACTTAATCTACCCTCCACCAGAATGATGAACTACAGGCATATATTTTTGTATAGCCTTTAATCAAAACAGCGAACATCTGGGAGGACTTCGAACAGTTGCAGATTCCTCAACAACAGATCAGAGAAACACAGGCACTGATGCATAGGAAGCGGGATGACCACTGTCCATAAATGTCCTGAAAGGTCTGGGATCATCACTGTCCTTAGAACTCCCTGCATCGGCATGGGTCAAAAAAAAAAGAAAAAAAGTGGGATATTTTTTGAGAAACTTTAAGGAAGCCCTTTATGAGAGAGAAATCCACTCACACATAGATCCGCAATAGATCAGGATATTGGGAAGATATGATTGGCTGAGTGAGGGCGGTCTACAGATGTGAAAAAGGCCAAAAAATACATGCATGTATAACTAGGTATAACTCAAAAAACAAGAAAAACAGTGAGAAAAAGATCTCCAAAGGACAAACAGGCTATAGATCCAGAACTCAAGTCTGTAGTCCGAGTCTCCATTCTGTAGTAGTACTCTGTGGTTTCAGGAGTGGATGTTTGGGACTAAGCCGTGCAGTGGTCTTGTACTATTAACATTGTGCCGAGGACCTGCAGTGGCTTTAGATCTTGTACGAACAAACCAGTAGAGGCCTTTTAACCACTGTTTGTATATCTAATGCCTCAGCGGTGCCTCAATCCTACCGGTGACGAAAATAAAAAAATCAGCAAAAGTAGTGAGTGCACATGGATTCAGGGCTTTGATCACGGTCCTGAAGCGACACAGCAGCTGCCGCCCAGAGCCCTGTGTCTGGGCACGACGCTCACTCATCAGTCCAACCTGTGGAGAGGCCAGCTCCGCCTTCTGCGCCCGTCAAACCAAAGATTAGTGCAACAGCTGACTACACCGCGGAGCGCAGTTCAATTATGCATGCAATGTTTTCACACGCTGATTATGATAAATTAGTGTGAAATATGCCTGTACAATAAGGCGGAACGATTCTGTGTGCTTCTGTGTATAATATGTTGAGGAAAAAACCCCACAAAAACAGACGCAAAACAGTCCAGGAAAACAAAGAAATTCAAGTGAAAAATAAAAAAAACACAAATCTGTAGTGACGGTTTTTTCGCAAATCAAAAGGAAAAGTTCTGAAACGTCATAAGAAATAGGGTAGATCAATATGAGATGAATAATTACAATATAAAGATGTAGGTAAATCTAATCTTATAAACTAGTCTCTCTGCTGTTGATTGTGATAGTTTTGAGTTAGCTTTACGTGAGAAATACAAGATGGGGTGATTGACAATGAGGGTTGGACAAGTTTGGAGAGGAATATGCCTGACATTATGTCCAGGTTTGGTTTTGACGGGTTGGGGGAGTTAGTTTTAAAAGTTCTTCTACTGTGACATCTGAAAATCTAAGTACATACGTTTGGCATTAAGAGCAGGAGCAGAGAGAGCGAGAGAGACAGAGACAGAAACTGAGAGAGACAGACGAAGACAGAGACAGAGAGACAGAAACAGAAACAGAGAGACAAACGAAGACAGAGACAGAGAGACAGAAACAGAGAGAGACAGACGGAGACAGAGACAGAGAGACAGAAACAGAGAGAGACAGACGGAGACAGAGATAGACAGAAACAGAGAGAGACAGACGGAGACAGAGATAGACAGAAACAGAGACAGAAACAGAGAGAGACAGAAACAGAGAGAGACAGACGGAGACAGAGATAGACAGAAACAGAGAGAGACAGACGGAGACAGAGATAGACAGAAACAGAGAGAGACAGAAGGAGACAGACACACTGACAGGAAGAGACTGATGTAGATGGAGCTAATGCACTCCATCAAGACCAGAGTCCAGAGACCAATATTTCATCTGCACATGTTTGTCTCAGATTTGGCTCCTGATTATATTAAGGGGGACTAAACGTAGCCTCAAAAGCAGCAGTCAAACACGCAAAAGAAAAATCAAATCTATTGCTTGAAACATAAGATTGAAAAAAACAAAAAAAACTGTATGAACAAGCTCATAAAAGTAAAAATGTGAGTTAATATGTTAAGATGAATAGAAATAGTACTTTTCAATAAGCCAACAGATACAAGCTTGAAAAATGACTTTGTGTAAAGAAAGAAAGGGCATGTTTATCCATTTGGGTATGTACCTAGCAAGTTTAGTTAGTTTTTTGGATTTTTAGTTTTAAGAGGACAGTAGAAAAGTACAAAGGAGAAGCACAAACATGATACAAGATAAGAGCCACTTATTTAAGATATTAAATAATAACTAGATAATAAACCAGCCTCTCAATCTAAACATCAAATCTTACACTATCTTGGTTTTAATGAGAAAAACAACTCTCTGAATTATTTAATTTGCAGAAAAGTTCCAGTCAAAATTGCATTTCAGGAAATTCAAATTTTTCAAAGTGAAAAATCAAACTCAGAAACTAATTTGATCACGAGATTTCGCACTGGTAAATTGTCATTGGTCAAAAGTAGCAACAAGGCACCATCACACAAACTCCCAAACACTGGAGCTAAAGCCCAGGCAGAGCTGGTAGAATATTTCAAAGGAATCTGAGCCTTTCAAGTCTTGTTAATGATGTTTTGCCCAAACCTCTGAGCTTGTCCATCAGTGGAGGAGGAAGCTGACGGGACAGGGCATAATATTTTGGTAATGGACGTTTCGGAGATGGATGAGGACACACAACAAAAGCTCACGAGTCTTCCACCTTGTTGTGTTGTTTTTCAAGAGAGCAGGCAGCATTCTCAGCGTGCATCACTTCCATTCTTTCCTCCATCTCTTAGTCACTTCCTCCTTCAGTTTTTACAATCGATACCCATCTCTGCTCACCCACATGTGCCACCGCTGTTTTCCATTTTCTGAATGCTTTAAGCTGGAGTACCTAATTTTGAAACCCCAAACACGTATCTATGTAATATATTCCAGACTTGTTAGTGCCATATGGACCAGCTTGGACACTGAGGAGCAGAGGGACTGGCCTCCTTCACTTCTTTAGGTCAGCTTTATCAGTAAAAAGACTTCCAGCTAGTCTCTCAGCCAATCATCTCTTAGTATGCAAGTAAAAAAATGTTTGCCTATACAATTAACATACTGTAAAAAAAAATGTCATTACAGGGTACACTGTATAGTTTTTACCCCCATCTAGCATTGACATCATATATCGCAATTCTACAGTACTACGGTAGCTTCGAAGGACAACATGTCGTCTTTGACAGTGGTCCCCAACTCACGGTCAAACTCATTTTTGTCCCTTATCAACCACTGTATTTCAAGATGGCGCAATGACATGTAGAGTCCTCCAGCCTCATGAACATTTATAAGTAAAATTCAAAGCCCATGACAACAATTCAAAAACATGATGGAGGTAAATATTTTTTAAAAAGTCACATTTGTTTTTGGTTTACATGTTTTTTAACTTGGAGCAACTGTAAAAATTACACAGAGTACCTTCAAGACTTTTTTTTCATGACAATCAAAACTTCAGCTTTAAAGCAGTATCTATATTCTTCATCATATATATAATCTTGGGAGGACTTGCACATTCGTTTTCACCTTTGACAGGACATTATGGAAAGTGTTTTATACAAGAATATTATCCAGGATTTGAAAAAGGGCCGACAATTCTCTTCAAAATAACGTCTTTTATTTGTAAAATCGTGACTGGTTTGAAGCTACTTTGAATGAACTGTGTGCGTCAATTCCTAGGCTCCGCTGGCAGGAAATAAATGCTACGGCCCCATGTGGCGTCTGCAAAACCTTCAATACCAAATGACGTCATGGAGCCGGCGAACGCACACTGTGAAGACACTTCAGAGCAAGAACGCATTGACAGACGGATGTACGCACGGCGCTGGCACCACTCAAAGACTCGGAGGGAAAACAAGGGGAAAAAGGGGGAAAAAAAGAGAAAAGCTAGAGGCTTCCCCTTCCGAGACTGTTTGAAGCTGCTGTTTTTCCAAATTGAGTGAAAATCTGGGTTACACTAAGATGGGAGGGGCCGAGACGGAGGTTTCCTAATATTCATACACAACAGAATGATGCGTCACTGTCCTCACGAAAGCATCACAAATTCAGGAATATACATTTTAGCTAGGTTAAAGAAGGTAGTTATTATCTGGTGGAATGTTTTATAAATAAAGTTTTAGACTGAAGAAACCATAGATATAATGTTATCGCTTATTTTCCAAAGCCGAGCTGGAAATCGCCCGTGTATGGCATCAAGGGAAACTAGATATATTCTTAAGATAAAAATAAATCAACAATGCATGGAAGGAATGTTTAAGGATGAGGTTTATTCAGTTTTGTCTCATGTGTTGTAAAAGGTTTTTACACTGTATGTTTGAAATGTTTAGTGGACCCCAGGAAGAAGCACTAGTTGAAGCTAATGGGGATCCATATAAATAAATAAATACATAGTTATTGAGTTGACCATTTCCTGTGTTTAAACTGTTTGATTCTCTGATCTGTTGTTGTTGAGATATTCCCAATTTTGTAAAGTCCTCTGAGAAGACTACATTAGGGATTTAGGGCTATACACAAATTATTTAAATTGAAATGAATTAGGTTATTTTGGCAATTAAAGCTGGGCTATTTTTTTCGTAAAAACTTTGGGAGTTTACGAATAGAAAGAGTATAGTATATAGTATAGTGTATTTTAAACCACAAGAAGAAAACCATATGTTTTTTAATTATATATATAGAATATATAATAACTTAATATAATATCACAATCACAAAAAAAGATAAATGAAAAATTTATTATAGATAATCATATAGTATTATATGAATTTATGTATACAAATTCCAAATCAAAAATCACATATTAGTAATATGAAATTACTATTTAAGTCATAGTAATAGTCTACCCGAATATATAAAATTGAAAACCTTGCATTTTTAGTAACTCATCAAAAATATACAAAAAATATATTAATTACAACTATCATCAATACAATTCAAATAAATATAATTTACATCATATTATCATATATCAAAATATTAGAAAAATTCCATCATAATATTTACAATCAATAATTTGTCATATAATATAAATTTATATTCAATATTTAAAAAGATTACAATAACTATATATATAATAATAAAACAATTAATATACAATTATCACCATTCATAGTTCAAAGCTATTTATTGATGGGTCCACGACATGTCTCGCACCACATACTATACAGTCACCACGCAAGCACACTCCAGATCGCGACCACCCCGCGTCCCCTCCTCCTAACACTACACTACCCTCACCACCCCCCACGACCCACACCACTGTCCCCCACAGTAGCGAAATCACCCCTACAACCGGACATCCCATCCCAACCAAACCCGACATCCTCCCTCAACGACCACCGGCCGTGGGGGGGAACACCGCTCCACCGACACACCACGCCTCCCACCATCTAACATAGTCAGAACCCCCACCCTCTTTACCTGCACCAACCACTACAACTCAGCCTAACCATACGACACAGTCTATACATTACACTCTAAAATCATCACATTCCAAAAACATTCAAATACACATATGTAACCACCCCTATTCACTATTAAGTCACCATATCACTGATACATCAAAATAATACACATACATATAAGCACTAATCCATAGCTACATCATAAATACCACATCCATATCTTTTTATACAGATCTTATAAAAGGCCAAATATTCAAACATACCACACAACTATATCTCATACAACTATACCCGTCATTATTTATAAATAAAATCTATAGGTTAATATTCATGCAATTCAAAAACAAACATTATTTCTCAACATAATAATAAAAAAGGATA